AGAGCTCAGCTGAAGAGAACGGCAGAGAATGTGAAAAAATGAAGATTTATTTCTGGAACCCTTTGTCCCACTCGGAACCCAATGAAACAGTAACAACATATAATAATGGTAATCCATCTGCATGTTTTTTTGAATTCGACTGCTTTTTAACTGGATATTTCACTTGAGATACCTTCTGTGTGGGTGATTTTTCTGATGAACTTCAGCCCTTTAAAGGAAAGAAAGGAAGGGAAATGATTTATTAAGGAAATGAATAAAAGCGTCTGTTGACTGAGATAATACGTTCAATTCATCTGTATGGATGCATTCTGTTAGATGATATGCTATGATTAAATGTATTCTCAGTGGATGGTTTACACGCAGATGCTTGTTTCTATGATTAAATGTTCTTAAGCGAGTCTTAAGTAATCAATGTCGGTGATAATACCAAGCATGCTTTACTTTCTTCCTTGGCTAGGCTTACCTTTATTCCTAACTACATATTGTCTGCTTTTAGCTCAATACTCACGCTAACCTCATTTATATTTAAAAGTCAACCTGTGTGTTTAAATCAATGGACCAGGTGAATTAGTCATTATTCATAGTGTGAAATGAGATTCAATTAACCTAATGAACTATTTTTATAAAGCGATTAAATATTACGTGCTCGTACTAGTTTTTTTGTTTTTTAAATTATCACATCCAAACTAGACAAAGAAAAAGCAGTAAATGTGTAAAACGAATTACGTTTTCCTTTTCAAAGGTCTATAATAATAATAATAGAACGACTTATGTCAGACAGGTAGTGTTTCTTCCTACTCTTTGTGTCTAATAAAGTTAATGAATTGTGTGAGATTTCGGTATATAGAAGAAGGAGTGAAGTGTATTTACTTATATATGCTGAAAACAGTCACTGATGAATCGCAGCTAGAATAGATCCTGTAACCAATCAACCAAATCCCTACAAACCCATACTTGAATATCAATGAGATGCTCACTGGCAACTGGCCTTATTCAGGCAGGTAGTTACCAAGGGTTCCACTGGGAAGTCGTGACCACTAGGGTGCAGCATGTCGGGTGTGAGGACGAATACTCGCCGAAGACATTGTCTAGCTGCCGCGCAATGTCGTGAATTGGAGGAGGTTAGAATTTATTGGCCATTGGATCAGGTCCCAGTGGCTTAATGGTCTATGAGCTCGCTGGCCTTGTAACCAGAAGGTCCTGGGTTTGAACTGTGGTGGTGGGTGCGTACTGATGAAAAGTCCTGAACTAATGGGACGAGACAGCTGTCCTATACTCCCTGTAGGTTTTCCAATGGTTCTCTAACCAATGTCAGCTCATGATAAAATCCTGTAACCAGTCAACCAAATCCCTATAAACTAATACTTGAAGATCCTGTTTTAAGCAGATATTTTAACAGAACTAGACTGATCTTCAACTTGTCAACGTTGTATTACCGACAATATATCCACATAAACATTCCATAAAGCACTACAATACATTCATGTACTGTGAAGAAAATCTACGGTATCTTTTCTCAGTTGAATTTTATAATTACAGTAGACAATACTTTGAGTGGTAGATTTAAAGTGAATTGGTATGTTAAAATTTTTCTGCAAAGGGTTTGCAAGTCCTTTTTTTCATTGTCTTAAACATAATTGCCTATTCTCTTTAATCTTCGTTTGTTCACACACACATTTTTCTTGACTGCCTTACAAACTTATCGGTTAATTCCTGATTTGGCAAAGTCGAAGGCTTTTGGTAGTTCACTCTCTTTTTTACCGCTTACTCTAATCAGAAGTTCTACTTTATTCTAGATGGATTCATGTATATAGTTATTTATATGGCAAATATGTGGTCTGGGTTCGATTCCCGACCAGCACACTCCTAAATCTCATCTAACCGGTAGTAAGCCCTGTAAAGACGTAAGGCTGAGTGGGAGGCCAGCAACCACACCATGGTGGAAACGCCTTTGTTACTAAAAATTCAAAGCCGGTGCTTGAATGAAAAAACGCCTAAAGATTATTAATATCAGATGCCATATCATTTTTCCATTGCTTTTTTCTCGCAGTGATGACTTCTGTCAGAAATTAAAAACTCTACTACGTAAATTATGTTAGACTAGCCTTTTTCGCCATTACTGTACAGGTCTAACTTTAGGGTATTCCTTATAGTGACGAAGATAACTAACCGGTAAAAACGAGCATCAATCACTCTCGTTGGGAGAAATCTAAACGAAGTCACCTCTTTCACCTATCTGTACGGCATCGTTTCAAGTGAAGGCGTTAGAATAAATATGGATATCAAAGTTATCATTGGAAAAGCACGGCAACCTTTCCTTAATTTGAAATAAGTGGAGATCTGCCGTATTAAGCATAAAGAACAAGCTTGGAATCTTCGACACCAATGTTAAGCTAGTCAGTCCTTCTGTATGGGTCAGAAACTTGGATGGTGTGTCGGCGAAAGCATTACCAACATTCAGCTGCAGACAATCATCAACAGCTGTCTTTTCTGGCCATATAATGAAGATGAAATGGTCAGAATTAACACTAGAATATATTGCACAACTAATGTGCAGAAGGAAATGGAGGTGGATTGGACACATGCCGAAGAGATGATTGAGTGATGTCGTGCGACAGGCGAAACCTCGAGTGTAGCTCAGATGGGGAAAGGCGAGTTAGGCGTTCAATGGTGATACAGAAGAGATAATGTTAGGCGGAGGAGATGAGATGGCAATCGTGGGATCAGTTCAAGAGGACTTCAGAAAAAGTGATGAAATGGCAAAGTGATGCTGTAGTCTTAAAATTCCATTAAGAACTTAAGAGAATAATAATAGTGTGGTGAGAGCTGGCTGCTAGCCAAATTGGTAGACGGTAATTTACGTCAATGTGTATGTCCCCAATATTGGTCGCGAGAAAATTTGAACAAAGACTGATTCAACAAACAACCACAGCACACCTTGCGTAGGCGGATACAGTTAACATATCTATGATCTAACATTCAAAAACAGTCACAAAGAGATGCAAGGTTAACTTTCTGTGAGAAACAACCAATCAGAAAACTGTGTTTTTCTGCTAACAATAATGTATAATAATGTACATGAAAATCTATAAATATGTGTTGATTTCCTTAATAAACGATCTGTTGCCTGGCCCTTGTCTTCGGTTGTTACAATAGTAACAACTGTACTTTAGAGTTCAGCTGCATAAAACAACATCTATTTTCAGTCACATTTTTAACTGTAATGCATATCTAATTACAATTTTGGCAGAGTGTTAGTCCGTCGACACTCAAAATGTATTTCTTAGGCAAACATATATATATATATATATCCTCACAAGGTTATAAAATGTTTTGCGCAGAAAACGTCTGTGGATTGCACTTAGATTAAGAAACATAATCTTTTGTTTCTCAAAAAGCATTGACATGACATTTGCATAATGGAAATCATAAACGTATTCTGAAGAAGCAAGAACAGAATTTACAGTATAAAATATACACATCTCACTTCGAGACTTGTTTTCATATACAGACAGCCTATAAAGATAAAATCATGCATTTATTTTATAAGCAGATTTTTTTATTCCTTCATGTTCCCAGTGGAACATAGGGCTTCAAGCTAGTGGCTTGAAGTTTCTGTAGCATGTTTATTTTACGGGATGGGGTTGCTAGCCTCATGCCCAACCTTTCCTCTTTACCAGCCTTATTTCTGTTTAGCGAGGTAGTGGAGTGCGTTGGCGGCCGGGGATCGAACCCCGGACCATATGCATGGTCGGCGAGCGTCCTAACCGCTATGCGCCAACGCAAGTAGAAGTTTGGCAATCATAAATTATGTAAACAGATTAGTTCAGTAATCTTGTGAGCAATCTGGGACCTATTCTTATTGATATAGCAATGAGAAATATGGTGGAAACTCAATGAAATTAACATTTGATGGTACAGGGTACACTTCATTGACTTGTCGATAAGGAAATGACGTAATGACACAATCTAGAAAGGAGGACTTAAATAAATCTGAAGAAGGCTAATAACTAAGTTCCGATAACTGTTTTTAAATACTGTGAAATAGGCTTAGATACAAACTTCTCAAAATCTCAATCTTTGCTTTCAAAAGTTTCACATGCGTTAGGCTGCGCATAGTATTTTCGGAGTGTATTTACTAACCACTCAATAAACACCTACTCGCTATTCACAGTTCAACCGCAAGACTAGGACGAAACAGCTGTCCGGTATTCCTTGGTTTCCGGTGGTTCTCTAACTCATATCAATCTCTGTTCTGACCTGATTCAAATAGAATCCTTATAAATTAATTCTTAAGAATTAATCTGATACTCGTTAGTGACTGGCTTAGGACGAAGTTGACAGAGGTTCTAGGGTAAAGTCGTGGCCAGTAAGATCATTCAGTCGGGAGTGAGGGTGGAGTACCCGCCGATGTCATTGGTTGGTGGTTATCACTCATCGGTAGGAGTTGGAATTCATGAGCCATTGATCGAGTCCTAGTGGCTGAATGGTCTACCAGCTGAATAGCTTTTTAACTGGAAGGTCCTGGGTTCAAACCCTTATATCAGATGCATACTGCCGATGAGTCCCAAACTAGGACGAAACAGCTGGTTGTCCAGTACTCCGTTGCTGGTTTTCAACGGTTCTCCAACTGATATCAATCCGTGATCTAACCTAAACTTTATTGATCGATCTTTGATATTATGAGTTGTAGTCCACTTGACCTTTCATGTTATTGTTTTCTTGTATGGCATCAACTATCTGTCATTTATTCATACAGTGATTACAACTAACTGTACTGTTTGACAGCCAATCATAATACATAATTCGCCTGATTTCATATGTAGTTGATAATTAATTAGAATAATTGGTCAACCTGAGTGTCATTAACGAGCACATCACACATAACCTTGACACATCAATTCATGTAACTCAAACTTGTAATTTCATTATTATCATTATTATTAATATATTTATTGAATGACACTGAGTTGAAAAAAAAAACAAGAGAAACTAAACAGCACATTTTTCAAGTGAAAGTTGATGGGAAGTAGTATACTCATCGCATTTCGGACGTTTAATTACCTCATCAAATGCACTTGAATATTACAATTCCACTGGATACATTCCAAATGAGCCAGACAATATTAGACATCAACTCATGTGAAATCCAGGCTATCATTCTATTTTCTATGTGTTGTGGAATTTTACTTTTTGGTTCACTGCTTATCGGAGTGATTACAATAGGCCAAAGAAAACGAAGACGAAAAGATATCGACGAAGAAAATCTTCAGAAATTGTTACGATTAAAAAGAACAACATGGATACCAAAGTATGCTGAGACTATATTGACTGGGAAAAATTACTTTGGACGAATTTTGGTAATTTTTCTCTATTGTATGCATAATCATATGTAATATATTTCCAATATGATATTTGTTAATTACTAATGTTAGTAAGACGGAATTTTAACATGATAGGAAATGAGACTAACAATATTTGATTGCAAAGCTGATAATTAATGATGTTTGGATCGAATCATTGAATAGTTTTCATGAAACACAAGTCTAGGAAACCGATCAGTTATCACAGTGATATGTATAACAAGTGCTAATGTCTAAAATATTTGTATATAACGACGTATAACGGAAAAGTACCGACCAGAAGAAAAACCGAGATATGTAGGCTACCGCTGATTGCCAATAAGGCTTTACTGACAGTAAATCTTGCAACCACACTGTCTAACATGCTGTAAAATATTTTTCATTGTAATTCTATCATGGTTTAAGCCCCACTTTTCACTTTACAGAATTAAAACCAAGCATGGATAGGTTCTAAAATAGACGGTTACTCCTTGTTTGCTTAACACTTATGACTAGTCGTGGATGCGTACTGCCGATGATTTCTTAATCTAGGACAAAATAGCTGGCTGTCCAGTACTCCCCGATGGTTTTCAATGGTTCTCTAACTGATATCAATCCATGGTGAAACTTGTATAAACAAATCTAATCCTTACAAACCAACTCTTGAAAACTAGTCTATGTGGTCTGATTTCTTTAGGGATAGGATCTCAAAATATATCCACATATTACGCAGAGCATATGTCGACTGAATCATCTAAATTAGAATTCAACAGTTGTTCTGTTTCCACTCATTAAAGTCATAGCGTATTACAGTATTCTGTGTCATAGTGAACGGATATTTCCTTACCACATTTCATGATAATGAAGATGACTGACAAACGAATGTACATTTTGAAATCACTTATGTAAGGAACTAGGCATTTTTCAAGGTTACATTTTGAAGGAAATCCTCGGGGACTGTACTGGCTTACGGTATGAAAACATGATAATCATTACAACTTAAAAGTTATGAAAAATTAAATATAAGGTACGGTTTTAATTGCGCCGGGTTCAGGGTGATCAATAATGCTCTGACGCCGGGTTGAGGATCACTATTACATCTCAGTGAGTTGAAACTCGCGATGGACCTTAATCGGGTGAGCTCAGGCGTGTAGTTTTTGTCAAAGGGGAGGCCTCACGGTCGTCCCTTTATTGTGCGTCTGTGGCACAGAGGTTAGGACTTTCGTCGACCATGCACATGGCCCACTGTTCGATCCCCGTTCGACACACACCTGATATTAATGGTCGGCCTGCAAAATTTGGGCTACCAATATTACATTCTGAAAATTCCATACTTGTACCATAAATACAGTGTGGAATCAAGCTACAATCAAAAAAATTTTTTTAATTTTACTATTTTTCTACGTTTGTCTTGCTAGCATTCAGTAACGTAATTATCATGTAGATATTATACTCCTGAGTGTACTTGCACTTCCACCGCTCAAATAAGAAAAGATGAACGTGGATATAACTTATTCCAAACCAGACCTAACTCGCTTTCTTCTCAGCATACTTAAACAGTGAGAACAGAGGTGATTGACTGCGAATCGAGTTTCTACAGATAGTTGATTTTGCATTATATGTCTAGAGGAATGCTGTAATCGCACCAGATGTTACTTATGGCAGTTGTGAAAGTGTTACATAACCTTTTTTCACGCAGCTGGAAAATCTGTTGCAGCGTTTACTGTATTATGAGTAAAAATATCCATACACTAAAAGATAATACAGAATGAATACTATTTCTCCTATTTCAAACAAAAGTTTCATAAGGTCATCCAACGTATGATTTGAAAAGTAAATAGACTCATTAAATTCAAGGTGAACAGTACTGACTAGTAAATACTAATGTAATAATAATAATGTGATTTATATTAGATGGTTGGAGGCAATCGGCCACAGGAAGCCTTCCACCTAGGTTTCATGGTTGTTGGCACTCACCAGTCAGCAAGGCGTATCTACAACCTCGAAGGAATGCATGTCCCTTCTGAGATTCTAACGCGCGTCACCCAGTGCTGCAGTCAGAGACGTTAACACTGAGCTATTCGGACTCTCGATTGACCTTCTGTAGGACTGTAGTGGATTTTACATTACATTATCACATTATAACCTGACTGATAGGATTCATTCTGCATCAAGAAAGGACTTATCAGTCACGTTATAATGTGATAATGTAATGTAAAATCCACTACAGTCCTACAGAAGGTCAATCGAGAGTCCGAATAGCTCAGTGGTAACGTCTCTGACTGCAGCACTGGGTGACGCGCGTTAGAATTTCAGAAGGGACATGAGTTCCTTCGAGGCTGCAGATACGCCTTGCTGACTGGTGAGTGCCATTGAGCACGAAACCTAGGTAGAAGGCTTCCTGTGGCCGATTGCCTCCAACCATCTAATATATCATCAAATCAATGTGCACCGTGATGGCAAGCTACCTAGAATGGTGGCCAAATTGTAAACCTGACTGATAGAATTTAGTCTGCACCAAAGAGAGTACTAGACACATCACACTAGTTACTAGTGTCAAATCAAAATAATAATGTGATTTGTTGGTACTGCCGCATTCTCTGAAAATGCTCTCTAGTAAGATAATAAAGGTTTCTTGGTTAAACCATTCCTGCTCAAAAAATCCACCGATACGAAAATCATTCAGCTAAGTAATCAGTCTTTTCCATCACTTAAGTAGTACCGTTTTATTCACACAAGCTTACATTAATTGTTTCTGTAAAAGATTTGTGGGTGATTATAGGCCTTGATTTATTAAATGATTTCATTATGAGAACACATCAGCCAAAGAACCATTAAAAAACCTTCAGGGAGTATTGGACAGCTGTTTCGTCAGTCTAGTTTGGGACTCTTCAGCAGTACGCGCCCACCCCTATGGTTCGAACTCAGGACCTTCTGGTTACAAGGCCTGTGAGCTCGTAGACCATTGAGCCACTGGTACCCAATCCAATGACCAGCCCATGAACTCCAGCTACTGCCAATTCACGACAGAGTGCTACCCTAGCCAATGTCTTTGGCGAGTATTTCCCCTCACACCCGACCTGCTGTACCCTAGTGGTCACGTGTTCCCACTAGAATCTCAGTAACTGCCTACCTGGGTTGTGTACTTTTACTTATCGAAGAGATATCTGAAGATATATATGTTCAAATGAAATAACTCGAACGTCTCGACAACTATGACAGGATGCTATCGACAGAATTCTGAAGGCAAATTGCTATTAATGAAACAATGGTGGTGGAGATTAGTTTTTAAGACACCATTTTTTTATAGTTTCTATAATTCATACTTGTATTAATTAATACTTTTAAAATGAATGTACTTAAATTTTCTGAACGATTATTATTTTTCTCTTTTCAGTTATTGTTAAGAAGTTTATCCTGTCTAGTGTGTATGACAATCTACTTATGGAATACATATGAGTAAGTTTGAGTATAAAGTAAAAAGTTCATCTTATCATGGTGATTTAATCTTTCCTTTACAGATCTGATCGTGATTTTTGTATACCATTCAACGGACAGTCAAGATTCTACATAGAAATGAGTTGTAATTCAATCTTTCTACTAATGTTTATCTTAAGAGTAATTTGTGAATTATATTTATTATTATTTTTTAATTTATTGATTTTCTTAACAAAATTTATTTTTCAACATTTTAATTTGTTTTTTTTGTTTTGTTTAAATGTATGCCATAAATATATGTTTATATAGGCAATTGCTTCGAATGATTTATTTGCAACTTGGATGTCAATCTATTCTTTAATTGATCATTGTACAATATTCATCATATTTTCAACATTTATAACAAAAAGTTATCAGTTTAGTAAGTTGACCCCTAATTATTTTTGTGTGTTTAACTTTATTAATTCCGTTTTTATTTTTATTTTTTTAAATAATTGTCATGTGTGTAAAATGCTGAGTTAATGTTTAATTGTGGTTGCAAACATGAAAGTTGAACGAAAATTTTAAAAAAGATGGTTATGTAAAAAGTTTAATGTGACCAAAACGATTGATTTGCTTTCTAGAACCTACTTTATAACAGAAATTAGCTAGAACTTTAGTAGTAGTGGTCTGTGAATTTTCACTTGCATAAAAGATGTGCCATTTTGTCTAGTCTTCTGCGTATGCTGACGAATTCGTTTACTGTTATAAGGTTGAATGCATTGACCCTGACATGACTGTTTCATATGTGTGCGAGACAGCATGTTCAATCATCCAATTTTAGAGATAAAAAGTTAGTCAATAAAAACCTTTGTTTGGTTACAGGATTTCATCATGAGCTGACATGGTTACAGAACCATTGGAAAACCTGGGAGTACTGGTCCAGTACTCTCACGGTTTTCCAATGGTTCTGTAACCGATGTCAGCTCATGATGAAATCCTGTAACCAATCAACCAAATCCCTATAAACCAATACTTGAAAAACCTTTGTTCTCAGAATTCCGACAAACCTTAGCCATTCAATCAGTTCAGCTAGTATTTTCATAGCTCTCTATCTCTCTCTTGATGACAAAAGTCCCACTAGTTTTCTGCCTTGTCTGACTTCACTCTTTTTCTGGTATCATATATTGTGTAGTGATGCAGACTTGGTTTCACTTTCAGCCACCATTTTTATCACATTATAAAATATTCACTTTGTTTTGACTGGCTAAATTTACCTACTTATCATAATGCTTTATTGTGTTTTGGTGACTCTAAAAATATCCCTTACTTACTGAAAACTGTATACATTCTATGAAGGGTTCTGTATCTTACACAACTGACATAGTTACCATCCAAGTTTAACGTCTCGACCATGGCTATTAATATAATCCCAAATAATAATATTGTTATCGTGAGTTTGACGACGGATTGATATCAGTTAGACAACCATTGAAAACCATCGGGGAGTACTGGACACCTGTTTCATCCTAATTCTGGGAATCATCGGTAGCACGCACCCACCATGGGGGTTGGAACCCGTGACCTTCCGGCTACAAGGCTACTGAGCTCGGTGACCATTCAGCCACTGGGACCCGATTCAGTGGCCAATCCATAAATTCTAACTTCTACGAATTCGTGATTCAGCACGATCAACAACCATTGTCATCGGTGGGAAATTCATTCTCACACGTGACTGGAAGGACCTCAGTGGTCGCGACTTCTCACTAGAACTCCGGGAAACTTCATCCTGTAGGCAGTCACTAGCGAGCATCAGATTAATTTTCAAGAGTTGGATTGTAAAGATTAGATTTAGTTTCGCGAGTTTGTCCACGGGTTGATATCAGTGGGTTCAAACTGCAGTGGGTGCGTATTGCCGACGATTCCCAAACTAGGATGAAACAGCTGTTCGGTACTCCCTGGTATTCAATGGTTCCCCAACTGATATCAATCCGTCGTCAAACTCGTAAAAACAAATCTAATCCTTACAAACCAACTCTTGAAAATAATGTTGTCACTAATAATGGCTGCCTTATTCATTAAATCTCATCTAATAGGTTTCTGCATACGAAGAAGCAAAAGAGAACAAACGTCTTTGCACGTTAAAAAGGCTCATTTTTCAATTTCACTACATTTCATCATCTGCCAACACCCTAAAATGACATGAGTCATTTTAAATGCAAAAATACATAACAACCTTAGAAACTATTTCATCTCAGGGTGTGTAGTTGTGGAACAAGAGATATGAATGAGTAATAGTTAATAATCTCACAACCAGAGTTTATTTTTATATATCATGTGATGCAACATTCGAAAGGAGAGGGTGGGAGTGAGAAGAAATGGTAAACAGAAGCAAAATTATTACGTAAGCAAACAATTGAATAAATTGAAAGATTAATAATGAGATCAACTCAATGAATTGTCGTCGAAAACTTGATGATGCAACAAAAACACAAATATAGTAGAGACGTTTAGTTACCAGGGTAGTGCGAGATTAATCACACTATCTCTATGTATACAGAAATTATGTTGAAATCTTTTTATAAATGAGTTGAACTCATTATTGGTCTTTCAATTTACTTAACTGTTTGTTCACGTAATCATTTTACTTCTATTTACCAGTATTTTTCACCCCCACCCTCTCCTTTCGAATGTTTTATCACATGATATAAGAATAAAATCTACTTGTGGTATCCATATTAGTTTGTTTATTATATGTATCACAAAGTGAAACAGTATTATCTACTGGATGACGTTTCGAACAAAATTTATTATTCATAATCATATCAGTTGCAATCACACGACTTCGAAACTTTAGTCTTATAGTTTTCTTTGTCCTCTCTATTTGTCGTCGTAGGGGTAGTAGAATTTTCCAGATATCTGAGTGGACAGGTGTTGAATCATTCCTATTACATGTATTTCCAGTTGATTCGATAAACAAAGCTTCTGTTATCAATCACTCCCTCCACCCTGTGATATTAGATTTTAAAACTGTCATCTTACGCCATCCCATCTTATTGTATGGTTGTGCGTAACTGCATGTGGTGCTATAGCTGAACTATTCTCTAAATTTCTTATCTTATTCGGGTCAACCAATCTAGATTTTGCCAGGTTTTTATGTTCGGTTAGTCTTAATCCCCCTGTTCTACTAGTTTCACCTAAGTATTTGACCTAACAATCATTCAAGCAAGGTATTAGATAAACTAATTTTTGTTTTGTTTTAAAGATTCCACAGGATCCTTTAACCGACAAAGCTTCTCTTACATGCCTCACTTCCTGTCTTAGATTTTCCTTGATACTACTTAATTTTTCCGCCCTATTACATAGACACTTCATCGATCCTATTTTTACTGACATAGGGTGGGATGGTCGGAAATCCAAATATCTGTTAGAATGTGTGGGTTTTCTGTAAACACTAGTGTTTAACTTCCCATCTTTTTTCATTTTCATGCTACAATCTAACAATGGAAGTTCCCCTTCCTGATTTTCCAATTCATAAGTGAATTGAATTGCCTCCAGCTTTGAGTTAATGTGTTCGAAAAATCTATCTATATCTTGTGTTCTAAGTACAGTGAATGTGTTATCTGCACACCTCCACCATACTTTTGGAATGGGCAGAACGTTTCAATCGCTATGTTTTCGCACATATGCATGAATATATCTGTCACAACCGAGGATATTGGTGACCCCATGGCAACTCTCTGGAATTTAAATACTGTGGAAGTCAGGCATAGCTGCACTCCAGAATTATGTCCTCAAGTGGCACTTTTATCCTACGTTCGAGTTCTTGGTCAGAAATCAGTTCTTTTTAAATTCCATTTCAGTTGAAATAGTTTTGAAGTTGGTCACATACGTTTGCGTCTCTAGTAATTCATTTCATTTTTGGGATGTTAGCAGCTGATGACAAGCTGCGGAATGAAATCATTTTTTCTACAGATATGTTTGTTCTCTCTCTGCATGTCTTTAAATACATATATTTTTTTCAAGAGTTTGTTAGTGAGGATTAGGTTTGTTTTCACGAGTTTGACGACGGACTGATGTCAGTTAGAGAACCATTGAAAACCAGGGAGTATCGGACAGCTGTTTCATCGGCAGCACGCACCCACTGGAGTTTGAACCCCGGACCTTGCGGTTACAGGGCTAGTGAGCTCGTATACAGTTCAGCCACTGGGACCCGATTCAAAGGCCCATGATATACATATATATACGTTTTTCCTGCATTATATGGCAGACTGAATCTATGGTTCTTATGGAGTATTTCAGTGTTCTTTAAAATTTCTAATTATTCTACTTTTCTATACGTTTATTATTACCGCTTAAACTAAAAGCTTAAGTAACAAAGTGTATTTGCTCCACTTTTCGCCCAAGATATTCACATTTTACTCAGTCTTTGTTATTTTTCACTGGCAATACTAACGGTGTAGGGTCATATATAAGATAAATCAAACGTCTTTAGAACTCACATCTCAAAGGTATCAGAAATTTAATGAAAACAAAACACAGTTCAGCATTTGTTTTCATTAAAATATCGGAATAGGAAATATTCATAAGTAGAAATTTGATGAACGCAAAATCTCTACATTCAGTCATAAAAATATAGTGTAACACGTAAGAAAGTTTTCCACTCTGACTGATTATTTTCAGAAGCTGTACATTTGCATTTATATTCAATAAAAAGTGAAACCAATTATTTTAATTAATCAATTAAATGTCGATATTAATTTTCAGGAAATACTTAAAATTGTTAGATGTTCGCCATGAAATGACATCGTTTAGGGAGGTCATTGAATACCAGGGAGCAAAAGACAAATCTTTCGTCCTAGTATGGGGCGCATCATCAGTATACATCTACGACCCCACTAAGGGTCGAACGCGGAACTTTCAGGTTATGAGGCCAAGCTAGTTGACTATTCAGCCACTTGGGCTGGGATTCACTGACCCCTGGACTCTGACTTCGTCAGCCCATAATATAGCACCGCCCTCATCAATGCCGTCGATGGAAATCCAATTCACCTTGACATAGTGAACCACACTGTTCACAACTTGCCACCACACTTTCAGGACATGTATCCAGTAGCCATCGGTGAGCTGGTGACTAGTACTCAGATTACGGGATTTGTAATGATTTTGGATTAACTTCAGTTGTTAGATTTTTGTCAGTAACCACTATCAGTTGGAGACATCATTGAAGACCAGGTAGCACTGGGCAGCCGTTTTGTCCTTTTTTGGGACTCTTCATTATTTCTCACCTACCATGGATCGGACGTTTTGCTTAATGTAAAAAACAATCTAGAAGTGAATAGATATTTAAAGATTATGAAACAGAAGTTGGTACCATGAAATGATCTGATCAACTGAATGTAAGCAATGTAAACTGCCAATCAGTCTAGAAGGAATGGGTGAATCAAGTGTTCTAAGGAAGAATGTGGTTATCAAGGTAGCTGTGTAAAATATCTTTGTGGGGAATTTTTGGGGTTTTTTCCGAATCTTGGCTGTATTACCACCTTCCACTCTATTTCATTGAAGAAAGTATTCTTCAGAACGAGTAGGATCTTTTTGTTTGTAGCTTTTCTTCAGATTTTGGTAAATAAGTTTAGACGGACACACATTTTTACTGAGGTTTCATGTAAGTGCATAAATTCATTTTTTCTGTATTTTAAGAACAAATCTACAGAAACCTTCCAGGGGACTGCTTGGAATGAATTCTTCATCATAATTGAAAAAAAATGTCATCGGCATATTCTAATAAAAATGGATTTCACTTCTGAGAGGGCTGAGGACACTATTTTTAATAAACGGTTAGCAAAGACTCAGAATGGGAGCCCATAGCCATGATGTCTTTTAACATCTCGAATGAAGGAGGTGTTTAGTGGATGGCTTTGAGCATTTGAACTGTAGTTTCTGCACATAAGTGGTAAAGAGGAAGATTTCAAGGTTGTTGGGTTTAATGCCATCACATCTGATGCAAGTTGTTTTAGCTTTGGAAATGAATAAAGATAGAAAAGTAACGTCCGTAGAAAGCCTTGACTTTTGTAAAGGCTAAATCTTTCGTTGATTTGATAAAACGGGAAGCATCCTTACTACCGTACCTGTTAATTCTCTGGTGGCTTGATGATCTGGTGGCCAATTCAAGGAAAACTCGAAGCAGGAAACGCTTCTTATTCTTCATGGGTAGTCTATGTAGTTTTGGAATAGTTGAGCTGCACTGGCTTACTAACCCTTTAATCCCTGACGTCATGTGATTTATCTTCCATTTTCACCAGTGAGTCCTTCAAAAGGTTTTCTGTTCTTTCGATTATCCTTTTAGCCGGGAGATTTATGGAGTTTGATTTTGTCTGACAAGAGGGTTTTAGAGTAGCTGTGTTCTCTGAGCTGAGTAGTTCAACTGCGAAACCTTCAGTCTTCCGAGACATCATCTTCAGCCCTGATTTCAGTGTATATTAGGATTGTCATTTTTCTGATATCATCCTATTTGTTCGTTATTACGACCTCTGTGCCTTTTTCTGGACAAACTAGGCTCAATTCTTAATTCGTCCATATAAGTCCGGGTTATTTTCTGTGTTCTTTCGACAGAAGACAATAGGGGATGAATAGTGCGTGTATGTATTTGTGGCAACAACCAAGGACTGAATCAATCAGTTGTTCAAAACATTTCTTCAGAATTTAGCAATAAATCAATAAAGTAACTTTACTGTGCTAAAAAGAATGATAGAATTGCTTGTTCACATGGGACTGATAGGTGTCAGCAAATCTTTTTTCCTTCGTCTATCAAGTAAGTAACAATATGGTGTTAAAGCTCATTGATACGATAAATTTTGACTTTTTCATTTCTTTATTTTCTTTTCATTGCAGCATTTGGATTTTTATACTTCGCCAGACTTACAAAAATCCCTGAATCATTAGTTCTATTAAGAATAATAAATCAGGAGCGTTCTATACGTTCTGTGAATTTAATATTTAAACTGCTGGCTGCCTGGACCATTATAGCTGGTATTGTACTTGTAGTAAGTTGACAGTTCTCTTTTGATTGGCAACAATTATGGCGACGAGACAAGATAGTTGATTGAAAATAAGGAGTAGGTTAAAATCGAAGACTTGGTAAACGAAATGAAGGGAATAGTTAGTCCTCTTGAGGAACCGAGCCTAGTACTGTTATAATATAAATTAAACATGTGTAAAGTTTCCTTAATTTCTAGTAGTGTCAGCAATATCAATGAAAGATATAGTAAAACTTAATATCCACAGGTAACAAGCACATTTTAGTCATTATAGCTTAATATATAAGTTATCTAAGCGATCAATGAGGCAGACAATCACTAATCGTCTTTAAACCATTGTTACTAATGGAACGGCTCACTGTAAACTAAATCAACCTCTAAGTTTAACTGTCTGGCGTTTATTTAATCATCATACAGGTGAACAAGAAGCATGACTGACGAAAACTTCTCAGAAGTCACAATCTAAGAATTATTAGCAAAACTGGTTTCCATTTTTACTATCCGGCTTTATATTTAGTAATACCATGGCTTTGAGATTTACACTGTCAGTGATTCCCTATCGCACAGAATAGTTACTGTCTCTCCTAACTCTTTAGTTGTTATTGCTAAATGAATATTGAACAGGTTGTTGTGCATATGAAATTCGCACCCTAAAAATTCACTTGTTTGACATTGTATATATCTTCTTCACATATTTTACAGCTTGAAAGAACCGGGAATTTTTGGACTGGTGATAATGTGCGCAGAAACATTGAGTATTTGGACTGTTTATACATGATTCTTGTAACACTGGCTACAGTTGGCTATGGAGATATTGTGTGCACGAGTTATCTAGGTCGCATTTTTATTATATTTGTTATAATTGGAGCTCTTGTAAGTAATAAAGAGACATACACCACTCTCTCTCAGCTAATATAGTATTAATTTAATTATTTAGTGTATTATTTTAAGCTCCGAGTGGAACATAGGGTTTCAAGCTAGAGCTTTGGAGTTTTCGTAGCAGTGGTTTTATTTTCATAAGGTGTGGTGGCTAACCTCACGTCCAACCTTTCTTCTTTACTTGCCATACTACCAGCTTAGTGAGGTAGAGGAGTGAGTCAGGCGGGGATCGATCCCTGAACCATGGTTGGCGAGCGTTCTACCACTTAACTACCGATGCACATAGTCACGTTCCCAGTGGAACATACGGCCTCAAGCTAGTGGCTTGAAGTTTCTGTAGCAGTGTTTATTTTACAGGAAGAGGTTACTAGCCTCATGCCCAACCTTTCCTCTTTACTAGCATTATTTCTGGTCTAGCGAAGTAAAGGAGTGCATAGGCTGGGGATCGACCCCCGGACCATGTGCATGGTCGGTGAGCGTCCTAACCGCTATACCACCGACTCACATAGTATATATGTATGTATAATTTGTGCTGCTGTCGTTTGTTTCTCAGTTTACTAACATGGTAGAGAAATAATGATTACAACACCAGTGGAAAGCTTAGTTAGCGCTGAAAGGTTGCCTTCCAAGCAAGAATATCGAGCTCTGCCTAACGTCATATGAAGCTCGTGTTGTTCTGTGTTTTGGTAGCTTCATAAATCATTGAAATCTGTTAAAAATCAATCTAAAACTAAGTTCTGCAAATATTGCGTGAGAAAAATTTTCCTTTAGATAACAAACTAAAATTTTTACAACAAATTTGCGTGAATGGATAAATTAGGGGGTGAGGTGAGACAATCAAATATTTCCTAATTATGTTTACCCAGGTTGATAAAATGTTCTATGCTTGTTCTCTTATCATTCAAATTTACATGACTAAGATAAGATTAGACATTTACACAGTCGAAAAAATAGTCATTTCACTGAGATTTATTCTCATGAATGTTTTTAATGTTTTCTAAGAAATTAATTCTTTTCTTTTGTTTTCTCATTTTATGAATGATAAACAGATAACAGTCACAACTCATATGTCGGAACTCAGTGAATTGTTTCAACAGAATAATCAATATCATAGAAGTATTTATATTGAACACAATCCAAGGTAAGTGAGCAAGGGAATCCCAAATGCACGCTTTATCGTGTTTGGCACTCGTCATACTGTTGAAGAGTCCTCTGTAGGAGTCGATATTGTCATTAGTGAACCAGCATTTAGATCCCATTGGGTCGGTTTCCAACAACGCATTCGGACCGAGTCTGATTCCTGGCTGAAGTACTCCCGAACTTCGCTCAGCTGTAAGTCAAGTAGAGAGGAAAGGTTGAGCATGAGGTGAGTAATCCCACGCCGTAGAAAACACCACCGCTACCGATACCTTAAACCTCACATGAGAAGCCATATGTTCTTCTCAAAACTAAAGGCAATAAAACAAATGAAAATCAAAAAGAAGATAAATTGAGGGGAAAATCAAAATAATGTCAGTTAGTAGCTGAGCACACACCTTGGCAGAGTTCTGTACAACTAGCTGATTACATTCTACATTTCTAATCTGCCTAAAATCTGAAGTACACGGGGATATCTTGATGAATTAATCAGCTGGGCTGAACACTTCAAAAGACTTCTAAATCGAGGCCACCTACAACACGCCCAATAATACCAACGGCGGAAGCATAGATACTGGTGGACATCAACCCTCCGAAGAAACAGAAATCTTGAAGGAAATCAAGATGCTAAAACTGAAAGAGCAGCAGGACCAGATGGAATCCCAGCAGAAGCATTGAAAATGGACCCAGACACATCAGCGGACTTGATAACACTACTACTGGAGAAGCTGTGGAAAGGTGGCGGATTGGAAGAAGGAATACCTGTTCAAACTGCCAAAGAAAGGAGACTTAAGTCAATGCAAGAACTGGCGCGGGATTATGCTCCTGTCCATTCCAAGTTAAATACTAAGCCGCATCATCCTGAAGAGAATCAAACAAGCCAATCTGGATGAAAAACTTCGACTGGAACAGGATGGATTCAGGAGAAACAAGTCATGCATCAAACAAATCGCCACACTATGGATCATCATTGAACAGAGCTTGAATGGCAGTCACCTCTCCACCTCACTCAACTTCATCGACTTTGAAAAGGCCTTCGATAGCACAGCGTCGATCGAGAGGTCATTTGGCAACTACTTCGCCACTACGGGGTGCCGCCGACAACTATACACTCATCCAACAGTTGTACGACAATGCTGTATGCCCAGTAATCCACAATGGGAAACTCACGGAATCCTTCGAAGTGAAGACGGGAGTAAGACAAGGTTGCCTACTATCGCCGATGATTTTCCTGATTCCGGTAGAATGAATAATGCGACAGACAGTGGGCTTGACAACGAGGAAACAGGCATAAAATGGACCCACACAAAAAACAACTTGGAGGATCTGGACTTCGCCGATCGATATATGTCCGATTTCCCACAAACTGGAAGATATGCAAGTGATGAAAAGCAACAAGTTGTATGAAGAAGCATCCAGAGAAGATAGGACTTCCTTCAGGTGAACATAGAGAAAACAGAGGTGATGAAGATTCCTGGCCAACACCAACAGCAGCAATAACAACAGACAACAACTAGCCACCATAAATGAGAGAAATCTGAAAGAAACAACCTCCTTCACCAACCTAACCACCTACCTACCTGGGAAGTATCGTTTCAACTACAGGCGGATGGAACTGATGAGGATATCAAAACTAGGATAGGGAAAGCAAGACAAACTTTCATTACTGTCAAGTTTGTATGGAGGTCAACAGCACTCAACATAAAAATGAAAATAAGATCCGAATTTTCAACTGAAATGTGAAGTCAGTGCTACTATACGGATCAGAGACTTGGCACCACACCGCATCACGAAGAACGCTTTGAACAAACTACACACTTTCATCAACAGCTGTCTTCGCTCAATACTCAAGATCAGATGGCCGGCCAGAAAAGATCAGTAACAGGTATCTCTGGCAATGAATGAACTAACCAGGAAATGTGCAGGAAGAAATAGAGGTGGATCGACCATACTCTGAGAAAACAAACCATTAAGTGACATCACACGCCAGGTCATTACTCGAGTGGAATCCGAATGGGAAGTGGCGAGTTGGTCTTGAGTTCGTGAGTGACATGAAGTAGGTCATGTGAAGAGGAGATAAAAGCAAGTGAGCAGATGTAGAGCCAAGTGATAGCGTTGAAGAAGAACTGAACGCAATAGAGACGTTCGGCTGAAGCCCTATGTTCCTCTAGTAACTAAAGGAAACAATAATAATATAATTATAATAACTGCCTAGTTTGTGTGAACAGATTTCAACAGTGTTAAAATTTCACTATGATTATGGCGATTACTTGGCAATACTCTGAGTAAACCAGCAAGTGACATCACTAGACAAGCCATCGCTTGAGTGGAACCCGAAAGGGAAGCGGCGCGTAGGCCGTCCAAGGGTGACTTGGAGGAGGTCATGTGAAGAGGAGATGAAAGCTTGTGGGCAGGCTTGGAGCCAGGTGAAAACTTTAGCAGGGAACCGAACGCAATGGAGACGAGCGGCTGAAGCCCTATGTTCCTCTAGGAATTAAAGGAAATAATAGTAATAATACGGCCATTACTATTAGTGAAAAGCTTTTTCACTTATTTAACCGACTGAAAACACTGAATGTTATTCTGGTTTAGTTTCAACTTATTAATTAATTCAATATGTGTAGTGATGTAATATGTAATTGTAGGGACATAAGTGAACTCAAAGGTTCACTATTCCATTGTTAATAGTTTCCTTAACTAATAAACATTTTTGGTTACAGGATTTCATCATGAGCTGACATCGGTTAGAGAACCATTAGAAAACCCACAGAGAGTACTGGACAGTTGTCTCGTCCTAGTTTGGGACTATTCATCAGTACACCCCATCACCACGGTTTGAACCCAGAACTGTATGGTTACAAGGCTAGCGAGCTCGTAGACGATCAAGCCACCGGGACTCGACTCAATGCCTAGCCCATGAATTCCACCTTCTACCAATTCACAACATAGCGCTACCCCTAGCCAATGTCTTCGGCAAGTATTTGTCCTCACAATCGACGTGCTGCATCCTACTGGTCAGAACTTCCCATTAGAACCCTAGGTAACTACCTACCTGAATAGGGCCAGTCGCCAGTGAGCATCACATCGATATTCGAGTGTTGGTTTGTAGGGATGAAACATTTTGGAGCATACGATAGATAACTACTAAAAGACTTATTTTTTTAATTCCCACAATCTACATTTAGGATTCTCAAAAAACGTGAAAATAAACGGCCGCAGATACACGAATTCTCTTCATTCAATGGATAATTCACCTGAAATAATAAAATTTAAACCAGCCACTTAGAAAGTGATAACTGTCAAATTTATCAAAAACTTTGTGGAAATTGAATAAATGAAGGCAGAACCAATAGATAAATAAACTATTAGTGTGGAAGATGGCGACATACATCGTCAGAGAGAGAGCAGCTTCGATATATATATATATATATATATATATCAGCTGGAGGGTTTAACAATAACATGTATTCATTTGGATTTGGGCGGTGAAATGCTAGTAAGATATGTTGAGTTATTTAGAGAAATGGATTAAAGAATATATGGTATATACCTTACCTAAGAAATGGCATCAGCTTCTCAACAGAAGTTTAGATTTAGCACAGACTAATACAATATTATCAAGTATTGGTCTTGTAGGGATTTCGTTTGATTGGATAGAGGATTTCATCATGAGCTGACATCAATTAGAGAACCACTGGAAGACCAACAGGGAGTACCGGACAGCTGTTTCGTCCTAGTCTGAGGCTCTTCATCAGTACGCGCCCCCGGAGCTCTAACCCAGGACCTTCTGGTTAGAAGGCTAGCGATCTCGTAGACCATTGAGTCACTGGGACCTAATGTCAGCTCATGATGAAATCCTCTATTTAATACAATATTAATCAATGGGCGGTATTTCGCACACAAATTGTTACTTAAATTATGAATATATTTAATTAATTAGGTGAATTGGTTGAATTACATTCTTGCATACTAATACATACACTATTTGCACACAAGGGTATATCTTAATCACTCATAGCTTTGATGATTTAAGTTTTAGCAGGCTACAAAATTATTTGGAAAGTGAATGATTATTTCATTAGAGGTTTGTTTTATCATTGAAGTGTATTTTCATATACCCGTACTACAGACGTTTTGTTTTTTCAACTAACTTAACACTCACAGGCATATAGTTGTATGTGGATGTATAAATTACAAAACAGTTTCAATATTTTTCAATGAATATGTAAACGCTGATAAAGGTCATTATGATGAAAATATGACGATTGTTATTCTGTCTGAGTAAGTCAGCCTGGTGATCAGTTGATTTTTTTTACCATCGATGTAGTATTTGTTTTTTTCATCTCACCATTTTTTTATTCACTTTACTAATTGAAAAATTTGTTTCATTTGATGCAATGGTCTGAGACGGAAGGGGTGGGGGTGGTGGGGGGAAACACTTCTAAATGGTTTTACTGGCCATTCATTTCTCTGGAGTATTATTCTTCCGGGAAGGCTGTGATTTTTGAACCTGAAAGAATCTAGTGAATGAAAAGGCTGTAAGGGTTTACCTCTTCTCCGTGTTACAGTCATCTATCCCTAATCAGATCACTGAAAACTGAAAGATTTTTACTAAGATATTAGATGTATAGTGTCCAATTTACCTAAGACGTATTTGAAAACAAAAAAAGTTATTGATAAAAATAAAATCCTGCCTGAATGAACTGTAACAGTTTCTAGAGTTTAGCATTTCAGGTTCCAACGCTGATAAACTAGTCGCCCAGACGTCTAAAAAAATGTCGTGTAGTGTTTCCGGTTAGCTCAATTATACTATCAAGGTTCTCTACATGTTCATATCGAACAGTTTCTGGACAAGTTCAACTTTAAACACCACTAACTACCAATAGAGTTTGACCGCACCAAATGACACTGAGTCGATCATTGAGCAAGTGAGTGAAACTTGACAAATAGTGTTGTCATTATCGATAAAAATATGGTCATCAAAGTGTTATGTTATCAAATGGGATATCTGGCAAGTTTCCGCCTAGGTTTGAGAATGATTAAGTATCGGTTTAAGCCAAGGACAAGTCAGGTTTAGGTTAATCTAATAAAAGCCTCATTAGGGTTGGTTCGAGTTAGATTACAGTTAGCTTAAGAATATTTTCACGTTAGGGTTAGGTTCAGGAAAGATTAGGGTTATTGTAAGGGGTTAGAAGACCTGAATAATTACATGCATAAAATGTGGTTCAATTACTCTATTGATATAAGAATAGAACTTGCGCACTCTGGTAGAGTATAATTCCATTCTGGGTAAAATTTATTTTGATAACGTCTCACAATGTTATGCAGTAATATTTACTGATGACAACGTTTCGAGCACAATTTATTGCTTAGTAAATATAACTGTATAATGCTATGAGACTTTATCAAAGTGAATTTTACACACAATGGAAATATACTCTGTTGATACTGCCAACTAAAACTGACGCCTATTTTTATCACATGTGACAGGAAGGTATCCACTGCAACACTTTTACACAGCTTTTATGCATTTTTTCCCGTACACAAAATACCTCCTTCACGTGATTGGTGCGTACGAGGTCATTCACTGATTGGTAGTTAGTGGTGCTTAAAGTTTAATTATGCCCAGTTTCTCTTGTTTTCTTGGTACCATGTACAGTATTAAGCAGGTGACGTATTATAACTTGAGTAAATTAGCTCTACCATCGTAACTATTTTGAAGATTACATCGCACTGTTCGCTTACTAAATCACTGATTTCATTCCGAAATTTTGATATTCCTGTTTTATGCATGTTTCAACTTTCATTTCTACTCATGTACTCCCATAAAATAAAAATCAATTAAACTGTCAGTTAACTTGGGAGTTACATATAAAAGGGAAAGATATGAACAATTTTGAAGTGAATAAGGATTAAAAATCAAATTATAACCTTTAAGTTCATTGAATTAATGTGTTATTACTCAAAGGAGTTTGGTTGGTTGCATTATACATGCTTCGAGATTTCTGAATTCAGTGTCGTCGGTGGCACAGTGGTTAGGACTCTCACCGACCATGCACATGGTCCGAGGTTCGAAACCCCTTAATAAAAAAAAAAAAAAATAGAATGTGATACCATTTTTTTACCTACTGCAGTTTTTTGTAAAGTATAACATTTGAAGTCACTATCACAAGTGTTTATAAATCTCAAGAGTCAAAATGTCATCTAGATGAAATGCTGATACAGGATTAAATATGTATGTCAGCTTTTGTTTATAGGTGATTCGACATCAGCTTGAAAACTAGTCAGTTAGACGTCAGCCTCAACTTACACACTGTTTTAATGGATGGTCAACTAACTGTTAGTTTGAACAAAACAAGAACTACAGTTTTTACAGAATAAAGTGGTACCATCTTCTATTTCGTTGCCTTCTCGTCAGCCACTTACAGGCCAAAAACATTACTAAATATATCTACGGAAACAATTTTAATATACTTGCAAAGAGTTCATTTTAAACAAAAATCAATCGATCAATATATGCATACAGTAATTATATATACACATACATGTATATGTAATATTAAACACTATTCCGAACAGTAATAATTTTACACAACGGAAACTTTTCAGCATTACGCATTCAGATGAAAGAGAGAGAGGAAAATAACTGTTAGTTTGCGTTATTTGAATATTTTCCCCAAAATTTTGAGGCCATAGCTCTTAGCAAACCCACTAAACAACCTGAAAGAGATAGTGGAATGGATTGAATTTTGAACATACTTTAGCTTTACTAATCTTAGAGAACCAAAATGATTAAGATAGGGAACAAGCCCAAAAAGGGCTTAAAGAAGGGAATTAGGAATACACTAGCAGATATGATCGTTAGTCATTTTTATATCGATTATAAATGGCTATTTGTTTGTTGTCTAAAATGCAGACAAAACACGTAGTTCAGCGAAGAGTCTCTTCTCAGCGAATTCATTTTCTTAGCTGTACAATCGCAAATATATATATGTGAGTTATTTTGTATGCATGTGTACATTAAGTTTCTCAAACAAAAATACAATTGGTTATGGTTATTTTAAGCAGGTGAAAATTAGTAAGTTTTCAGCAGAGTTGTCTGTATTCCCAAATATACTTTTGATAACATGTTTATATCGAAGACAGGTAGTGGCATGCTATCCCTGAAAGCAAATGCAAATCCTGAAGTCCACTGAACTTAGAGAACTCTTATTGTTAAGCGGCTATTTCAAATTGTTGATAATCTATATGAAAACATTCTTTCAGTCAATCGATATATTCCTATGAAAATTCTGAAGAAACTCTGACTGATGGGACATTCTGCTGTACTGTTTGACCTGTTATAACTGTAGGATAGGACACATATAGATAGCTGAAGTCAACTTCACCTTCCTTTGCTGGGAATTAGGTACTTGCAGAATTTAGAGTAGAGTTTTACACTGTTAATAACCGCATGTTTAAAAAATTTGCTCAAGTTACAATATGTATTTCAGTGAAAAGTCTCTTTTCGAAGGCGAATTCATTCACTTAACTGTAGAATCGCAATGATATATTCTTATTTTTGTATAAATGTGTGTACACCAGGTTTGTCCGATAAGAAATCTTACATAATGCCATATTTCCTTTGTTTCTATGCGCATCGTAATCCAACTCACTCATTAAACTATTCACCTTATTATGTAATTGTAATTACGCTTATTCAACATCTTTAATATGTTGATGAACATTGATAACTAGGCTTTTTGACGACACATCACCACTACTCTCTTACCAAGCTTGACCCTCCCCCCTAGTTACAGTTTGACTACTCATCACATTTTTGAAATATCTTAACAACAACAACCGTAATTTACTTTTATTCCTATCGGACAAACCGAATGTACACACAGACACATACGAAAATCAGTATATATAACTGCGATTGTACAGCTAAGTCAATGAATTCGTCTCCTAAAAGAGACTCTTCGCTGAACTACGTGCTTTGTTTTTTCATAAATGTCTGGATGGGAATTATTCATGGATTAAGTTGTAATACGCACACCTTAAATTACCATCATGAAGTGAAAGCTGATTAAACAAAAAGACTTTTTCGTAAAGCATCCGTCTCGTTTGTGAAATTACACGTTGTCATTTATATTATTATTTCCTTTAATGCCTAGAGGAGCATAGGTCTTCAGCCGAACGTCTCCATTGCGTTCGGTTCTCCGCCTACGTTATCGCCTGGCTCCACATCTACCCACTTGCTTTCATCTCTTCTTCACATCACCTCCTCCATGTCACCCTCGAACTGACGAACAACCCGCCGCTTCCCAATTGGGTTCCACTCAAGTAATGGTATGGCATGTGATGTCACTTGATGGTTTGTTTTCTCAGAGTATGGCCAATCCACCTCAATTTATTCATGCAGATTTGCTGGACAATCGGTTCCTTCTGGGTTGGTTCGCTCACTGCCGTCCGTCCCTGTTACTGATCTTTTTGGCTGGCCATCTGATCTTGATTAGTATTGAGCGAAGACAGCTGTTGATGAAGGTCTGTAGTTTGTTCAAAGTGTTCTTCGTGATGCGGCGTGGTGCCAAGTCTCTGATCCGTATAGTAGCACTGAATTCACATTGGAGTTGAAAATACGGATCTTATTTTTCATGCTAAGCACTGTTGATCTCCACAAAGACTTGAGAGTAATGAAAGCTTGTCTTGCTTTCTTCATCCTCGCTGCTTTGATGTCCTCATCAGTTCCACCCACCTGCAGATGAAACGATGCCTCTCAGGTAGATAGGTAGGTAAAGGAGGTTGTTTCTTTCAGATTCCTCCAAATCATGGTAGCTGATTGTTGTCTGTTGTTGTTGTGCTGTTGGTGTTGCTCAGGAATCTTCACCATCTCTGTTTTCTCTATGTTCACCTGAAGGAAGTCCTATCTTCTCTGGATGCTTCTTCATACAACTTGTTGCTTTTCATCACTTGCATACCTTCCAGTTTGTGGGAAATCAGACATATATCGTTATCGGCGAAGTCCAGATCCTCCAGTTGTTTTTTGTGTGGGTCCATTTTATGCCTGTTTCCTCGTTGTCAAGCCCACTGTCTGTCGCATTATCCATTCTACCGGAATCAAGAAAATCATCGGCGATAGTAGGCAACCTTGTCTTACTCCCGTCTTCACTTCGAAGGATTCCGTGAGTTTCCCATTGTGGATTACTGGGCATACAGCATTGTCGTACAACTGTTGGATGAGGTGTATAATTGTCGGTGGCACCCCGTAGTAGCGAAGTAGTTGCCAAATGACCTCTCGATCGACGCTGTGCTATCGAAGGCCTTTTCAAAGTCGATGAAGTTGAGTGAGGTGGAGAGGTGACTGCCATTCCAAGCTCTGTTCAGTGATGATCCATTGTGTCACGATTTGTTTGATGCATGACTTGTTTCTCCTGAATCCATCCTGTTCCAGTCGAAGTTTTTCATCCAGATTGGCTTGTTTGATTCTCTTCAGGATGATGCGGCTTAGTATTTAACTTGGATAGACATGAGCATAATCCCGCGCCAGTTCTTACATTGACTTATGTCTCCTTTTTGGTAGTTTGAATAAGTATCCTTTCTTCCAATCCTCGGACACTTTGCCCTTTTTCCACATTTTCTCCAGTAATGGCGTAAAGCGATGACGAACACTTTTATGTGAGAATTAATATCTCCATCCTCGGAAACACAACTTTTAAGAGATAATATATAATAACAGTAATTGATGGTTGCTGCTTATGAAGCTTAATTTCTCAAATTCTATAACAAAGATTTACGTTGGGCACTTGTACAGTATCAGTATTTGACTGCTCCTATGAAGAAGAATTGAAAAATTGTTTTAAAAATAGTTACATTTCTCTGCCTTTAAACAACTGATTTCTTAAATTGCGTGGCAATCAGTCAGCCTACACAGTGCGATCGCATTAAAACAAATTGTGTCAATTTTATCCAGATTTAATATTTATCACATTATATTTGTGTGGGAAAAAAATTACTTGTTTCTTCTCTAAGATATAATCTCACCTGTTCCACTGCTTTTATGGTTACTCAGACTAGAATTCAAACATATAAATCGACAAATTCTGTACTGTAGTTTGCTAAGTTATCAAAATTATCCATGGTAGGGTAGGCTGGGGAGCTCTGGAATTCTTATACAAACTCCACAAACTATGACGGTAAATGGCTATCATTAGGTATTGATGAAGCTTTTCAAGATAGAAGTGGATAACGTTTTAGGATTTCATCATGAGCTGACAGTGGTTAGAGGATGATTGGAAAACCTGAGAGTACTGGACAGCTGTTCCGTCCTAGTTTGAGACTCTTCGTCAGTACGCACCCATCACCACGGTTCAAACCCAGGATCTTCGACTACAAGGTGAGCTCGTAGACCATTAAGCCAATGGGATCCGATACAATGGTCCATGAATTTTAACTTCCGCCAATTCACGACATAGGCGACCCTAGCAATGTCTTCAGCGAGTATTTGTCCTCACACCCGACCTGCTGCACCCTACTGGTCACGACTTCAAGGTTTTCCAATGGTTCTCAAATCAATATCAGCTCATGATGAATTTCTGTAACCGATCAAATCCTTACAAACCAACACTTGGATAATGTTTTAGTTGGTAATTATACGAAGAGCACACAAGCGTGACAGAATATGACATCATCAGCGTGCACATAAGTCATCCTAAAAAATGGAATCATGAAGAATAACAATTTGTTACCTTGAAGACATGGTTCACTGAATATCAAATAGGTGGTATCATGCGGAATTTCATCGTTCACACGTATGTAGAAGCTTCTACCCAACAAATATGCAAAATAAAACGGAGATGAATCAGAAATAGACTGAGGAGACCATAGAGTGATATCAAACACTCAGCCCTCGAGTTAAACCCAATTGAAACGCCTGAGGTTGAGATCGTCAGAGGAGAACATCACAGCTTGTAGACAATCTTGGAGCAAGCTAAAGGAGACTGAAACACACGAGAATACTGATAAATGCAATAACATATTTTGAAATTACATTTAACAAGTGTTCCATCAGTACATAGTGATATGTATCCATATATATATATATATGGTGGTCTCTCTTTCTGTTGCTCTCTTAGTCTGTGACCGTTTCACTTTGATGAACTTGTCTCCTTTAACAATGTATATTCCCCTTATATTATATATGATATGTGTGTTTGTTGACAGTCCGTTGCTTGGTGACATATATCCATATTATATGTGTGGTTGTTGACATGTCTGCTATATTTTGCTATGTATATATGGATCGATACTCATTATAATTAGCCAATCATGTTAAGACTGTCTATTGATTGTTCACACACTTGTTTGGACATTCATATATATTTTGCTCTCACACTATTGTGTGATACATTGATTCTCCTTGTGTTTGGAATATATCAGTATCATCGCAAACCTAGTGGTCTTCTGATTTCGTCTTTCTTGCGTCAGGACTATTAAATTCTCGACCAGTACAACATAATAATTTGGCGACAAGTACATAACACATAGCTACTGCTAACAATCAGGCTCTGTTTTCATAAAAGTGAATGATGTCGTGTAGTTTATACAGATAAAGATAGTTTTCCCTTTTTTTATTCTACTGTTAAACAAAGAGATTGACGCTTAACGAAGCAATAAAATCTATTTCACTTACAATACTTAATTTCCTTTCGTTTACTGTAGGAATGATCCTGGTATTCGTCTGAAAGCTTTGCTTCAGAGAGAAAGTACTACTATTACATTTTTAAAAGGATCTGTGACAATACCAGAAGATTTGGATAGAGCCAAAGTAAGTCATCTGTCTTAATGGTTCTATCAATAACAAGGATGAAAGAGTGTGGCTATTTGTGATAACAAGAATAACACAAAACAGCATGATTTAACAAACAAATGTTCAATTAGAAGTAGTTGATAAAGGCTAATAAAAACAACTGCACCGATTCAGTAATGCTAGATTGTAAGGGAAGTAAATAAAATACGTTTTAATAAAGAATAATAGCAGTACGAACTTCTGTTGAATGCATAGGCAAAAATATAGATGAGGATGTCAAAACAAGAATTGGAAAGGCAAAGCAGAATTTCAACACTCTGAAGTCGGTTGGAAAATCTCCTAACTCAGCATAAACGACACAGTTTAGACTGAATTATACGCTGAGGATTTTGCCTGGTAAAGTTGTGAAAGCGTTATGAGTAAATCATCCAGCTCAGAAATTACAACCACTATAACTTACATGATTAGGAACAATAATTTGTGTTCTAAACGTCATCCAGTAAATAATAACGTTAGCTTCAGGCTAGAGGCTTGAAGTTTCGGTAGAGCAGTAGTGTTCATTTTTACGGGATGGGGTTGCTAGCCTCATGCCTAAACTTCCCTCTTATTACTGGCTTAGTGAGATAAAGGAGTGAGTCGGTGGCTGGAAATCAAATCCAAGCCATACGTGGCGTGGTTGGCGATCATTCTACCGCAATACCACCGATATACATTGTGATTAAGTAAGTGGCCACAATTCAGATGGTCTGAAATAATTCTGATCTCCGGACTGGTTTAGTCTAGGTGTACTCCTGATAAGTTCGGTCACAAACAACAGAAACTGCCATTTGGCGTTTCGAAAACGTCAAACAACCTTCCCTCTTTACCAGTCTAATTATTGGCTTAGTGAGGCAAAGGGTTGCGTTGGCTGGGGATTGGACCCCGAACCACATAAGGCGTGGATGGTCAGCATTCTACCGCTGTGCCATCGACGTTATTGAAAAAAATTACTCTGGAATAACACACTACCACAGTACCCAGGTTCCACACATATATATTAAAAATGTATATTCTATTGATGACTTTAAGACACCTTATGAGTGACTACTGTTAATCTCTTGTAAGGAGGAGACTAACTGTTTCGCGGACCCCATTATTTGCTTTAGTAGTTTTATTGACCTGTGTAGCTTGTAGTGTGAGTCATCATTATAAAAGTCGAAAACGAGCGGCAACAAAAAGATTACAACATTCTACCAATCATGAAATCTACCCCTTGCTGGTAACAAACAGTTATGTAGGACGCTCGCCGACCATGCACATGGTCCGGGGTTCAATCCCCGGCCGACGCACACTTGATATTAATGGTTGGCCTGCAAAATTTGTGCTACCAATATCACATGCTGAAAACCCATACTTCTACGAAAAACGTACTGTGTAGAATCAAGCTGTAATCAAAACAAATTGCAGGCAATCGCCTAAAGTATGATAAAAAATGTTTTATGTCAGTGTATATCGTGTGACTGATGTTACCTTTAACAGTTTCACTGTTACCATACTCTGTAACTCTTTTTCAATTCAAATCGAACATTACATGAACAAGGTCTCGGTGATTAATAAAAATAGCACCTATGACCCTGATTACTATCCGATAAGCTTACAAAAACATACTTGTACAAATTATATATATATATATATTTCCATGTAACAATGTCAGAGTTTCACATAGAAATCAGTTAGTTGAAAATGTTTTTTTTTCGTTGTATTTTGTGATGCAAGCTGATGATATCGCTGAGTTTCATTTGCAGTGGCATCGTAGATGCGCGATAACACGTGTCCATGAGTTAACTAGACGCCTAGTTAAAAAGCCAGTTAATTAGTCAATCTTTACGCCTATCTCCGTTCATTAAATTCAATATCTTTATTGCCTAACTCAAATTTACTCAAATTCAAAGTCACCACTGGTTGAATTTGCTAGTGTCGTTGAGATATGTTGCACGGTTTGTCAGAAAAGATCTTCTTTTCAATTCTTAGACTATCTGAATTCATAAAACATTTAACTTTAGATTATTATTATTATTTTTATTCCAAGTTTAAATTTATTGTTTCTCTCACCCTGAAATTAATTTATCTGATATATGGAGATAAATTTTATATATGGATGTTTTTCATTTTGTTTTTTTTTTTCTTTCTTTTTTGATTAGGTAAGAACTGCAGAGGCTGTGATTATTCTATCGAATAAGCGCAGTCAAACACCTGATGAAGATGACTGGAAAAATTTAATGTGTGTTGTCTCTATTAAAAATTTAAATCCAAAAATTCGTATCATCTGTGAACTTATGTTGTTTGAAAGCAAAGTATGTTTTTATACATATATACATATCTATATATACCAGTACAGATAACTTGTTTAAATATTATACACCATATTATTATTATTATTGTTCCCTTGGGTTCAACTGAAACATAAGGTTTAAACAACACATCTCCACTTTCTTCTATTTTTTGTCGTCTTCTTCAGCTGGTTAGCCAAACGATTGCCCATTGTCTATCACCTCCTCCTCGAACGATCTCCAGGACAACCTCTTACAACCCACTCGTCACCTGCCATTAAGATCTCACTTGATTAATGGCGTGTATTGCACGTGATGTCATTCGACGGCCTCCTAGACGCATGCCTGATTCCTCTCCATGTTCTTCTGCACATCTGTTGAGCAACTGATTTTCACCTGTTGGTTAATGCCCATAGTTTCTTGTTGCTAATTCTTTCTGGCCAGTCGGCCATTTGATGTTCATTATGTAGCGAAGGCAGTCATTGATAAAAGTCTATAACCTGTCGGAATCCTTTTCGAGACGCGCACTGCAAGTTTCTGACCTGTATAGAAGAACTGACTGAATTAAAAGTGCTGTAGGAAATCCGGATCTTGTTCTTTACGCTGATTGCAGTGCATAGGATTTCGAACTAGATCAGATTGATAAATACCCGTTTTGCTTTTCCAATGCCTGCTTTGGCATCACACATATACATATATAAGTACATGGGTGTTGTTATACATCCGATTTTGTGAAATACAGCGTGAAAGCTAAATTTTGTCAGCATCTACTAACACATTTTTAAGCTAATTCTATGAATAATCGCTTATCTATTTAGGTTTTTAAAATGAACTGATCGTGACCACGTTTCGCTTTTTGAAGTTTTTGGTCACTGTTAGAACCAGGCATAAAAAAAACACTCCAAAATAATGATCCATTTTTACATATGAATGTTTGATATCAGTCTAGGGAGAATGTAGTTTTTATGAGCCGCTGATTATGAAGAAAAATCCAAGTTATCCATATATGTTATTTATTGTGAAGAATAAAAGTTTATTTGGTGGCATTAAAGGTAAAGAAAATTTATTTGAATATCTATCACCAATTTATAATGATTACAATGTATTAAGGTTACTTTGCACTCACGGAATCCTTCCAAGTGAAGACGGGAATGAGACAAGCTGGCTGGCTGCCTACTATCTCCAATGATTTTCCTGATTCCGGTAGACTGGAACATGCGACAACAGTGGGTTTGACAACGAGGAAACAGGCAAAAAAAGACTTGGAGGATCTGGACTTCGCCGATGACGATATATGTCTGATTTCCCACAAACTGGAAGATATGCAAGTGAAAAGCAACAAGTTGCAGAAGAAGCATCCAGAGAAGATAGGACTTCCTTCAGGTGAAGATAGAGAAAACAGAGGTGATGAAGATTCCTGGCAACACCAACAGCGACAACAACAACAGACAACAATCAGCTACCATGATTTGGAGGAATCTGAAAGAAGCCACCTCCTTTACCTACCTACCTACCTGGGAAGCATCGTTTCAACTACAGGCGGGACTGATAAGGATATCAAAGCAGCGAGGATGGAGAAAGCAAGACAAGCTTCATTACTATCAAGTCTTTGTGGAGATCAACAGCCCTACTCAGTATGAAAAATAAGATCCGTATTTTCAACTCCAATGTGAATTCAGTGCTACTTACTCTATGGATCAGAGACTTGGCACCGCGCTGCATCACGAAGAACACTTTGAACAAACTACAGACTTTCATCAACAGCTGTCTTCGCTCAATACTAATCAAGATCAGATGGCCAGAAAAGATCAGCAACAAAGATCTCTGGGAGCGAACCGACCAGGAACCCATTGTACAACAAATCTGCAGGGAGAAATGGAGGTGGATTGGCCATACTCTGAGAAAACCAACCATCAAGTGACATCCCATACCAGGTCATCGTTCGAGTGGAATCCGATTGAGAAGCGGCATGTTGGTCGTCCGAGGGTGACATGGAGGAGGTGATGTGAAGAAGAGATGTAAGCGAGTAGGTAGATGTGTAGCCAGGTGAAAACTTTAACAGAGAACCGAACTCACTGGAGACGTCCAGCGGAAGCCCTATGTTCCTCCAAGGTTTAAAGAAGCAATAATAATAAGGTTTATCTGCATTCCCCGTTCCTTTATATTATGTCTGACAGAAATGCTCAGTCTCTGTTGAAATATTCGCTCCTTGTACGGACGCGTAGATGATGTCTGATGACTGATGTGATGTAATTTTGGTTAATTCTGACAAGTGATAAACCTAAGATGTTTATTTCGTCACATTTTGAACTCGTCCGCTGAATGAAACCTGCATTACCCGTTAGTGACTGTCTTGGCCCTCATGGCTTAGTGTAAAATGCTTTAGAGTTTGAAACAGAGGATGGAGGGTTTACATCCTAGTGAGAACAACGTAACTCACTGGAAATGAGGAGACATTCAGCTGACGAGTCCAAAATAGGACATAATATGACGTATTGGACTCCACTGCTAGACTTCATCAAGCGAAATAATAATAATTACAAAGCATTATTATTCAAAATTATTCGTTACAAGTTTGATCAAGATCTGACAACATCTAAAGAACCATTGAAAAACCTCGGAATATTGAACAGCTGTTTCGTCCTCGTCTCGGATTCTTCAGTGGTACACACCTACCAGAGTTCAAACCGAGAACCTTCCTGTTACACGGTGACTTCATAGGCTATTCAGTCACTACGACTCGATCTAATGGCCTATGAATTCAAACTTCCGCCAGTTCGTGATATATGGCGTAACCACCAGCCGATGTCATGTTTAGAGCTGTAACCAAGCAAATCCCTGCAAACCAACACTTGAAATGATTAGCTCATTTCACCGGTCTTGCAACAAAGATTTCTTGACCTGTATGGGATGAGTTATTGCTTTGAAATCCAAGTATTCTATCACCAGTTTTGAGGTATTGGCTACTGAGTGAAATTATTATGCATACGTACTCAGTTACACTTTTGTTAATTCTATAGCTTCTATTTCCCGTCTTTCAAACAGTTTAACTGACTATATTACAGTGTCCTATTTTTGATTTCTGATGGTGGATGTAAGGTTACAGCCTGAAAAGATTAACAAATACTGTTCAAGCTTTTAATTTCTTTAATAAATTCTCATTCACGGCTGATATCCCCTGTGTGTATGTGTGTGTGATATGGCTGAGTGATTTAATCAGGTTGATGAAGTTAGACCACATGCACTAACTGATTGCGTAATTAGCATTATTTAGGTCGTGTGAACTTATCACAGTTTCAAGTGTTGGTTTGTAGGGATTTGACTGGTTACAGGATTTCATCATGAGCTGACATTAGTTAGAGAACCATTGGAAAACCTGCAGGCAGTACTGGACAACTGTTTCGTCAGACTAATTTGAGACTCCTCATCACTATGTACTCACCGCCAGGGTTCGAACCCAATACCTTCTGGTTACAAGGCTAGTGAACTCGTAGACCATTAAGCCACTGGGACTCGATCCACTGGTCCATGAACTCTAACTTCTGTCTATTCACGACATAAGGCGACCCCTAGCTAATGTCTTCGGCGAGTATTTGTCCTCACACCCAACCTGTTGCCCCTACTGGTCACAAGCTCAATTTGTAACCAGAACGTCGTAGGTTCGAGCCCCAGTGGGTGTATACTGCTGAAAAGTCCCAAACTAGGACGAAACAGCTGTTCTGTACTCCCAGGTTATCACAGTTTGTTTTCATGAGTTTTGTTTAAAACAAAAGCAGATATTTTTGTCATAATGCCTATCGTTTTTACACAGGGATGGATGTCAAATATACCAGGATGGAATGAATATCAAACTGATCAGTTTGACAGAGCAATTTGTATGCCTCAAATGAAGTTTGGTCTATTAGCCTTGAATTGTATATCAAATGGTGCATCAACGTTGCTGTGCAATTTTATTATGCGTGATTCTGTGCCGACAAGTTCAGTTACAGTAAGCTGATTACGATGAATGTCCTGAGAAAAAATTGTTACTCACTCTCTTTTTTTAAAACGTTTTATGAATATTGTTGGTGCGTCAGTGGCATAGTGGTTAGGACGCTTGCCGACCAGGCACGTGGTCCGGGTTCGATCCCCGGCCGCCAATGCACACCTTTACCTCACTAAGCAAGAAATAATGCTGATAAAGAGGAAAGGTTGGGCATGAGGCTAGCAACCCCATCTGTAAAATAAACACTACTGCTACAGAAACTTCAAGCCACTAGCTTGAAGCCCTATGTTCCACTGGGGAATGTGAAGGAAAAAAATGAATATTGTCACACTTCATGTCAGAATGTGCAGTTGTACACAGTTAATTCCTTAAATAATGATAACCAAACTTGTTTCCAGCTTAGTGTCTTAGTTAGTGAAAAAATATACGCAAAGGAAATGTCACTTTTCGCAATTTCTTGATTACAAAATATAAGAATTATGATAAATCGAAGTTAAAACTTAGCTGAAAGCAATACAATTTCATGTAGGCTCAAGAATAATAATGGCAAATAATCGTTTAATCTGACTTTTAGAAACCATATGTTCATCATAAGCATATAAATTCAATCTAAAACTATACTGGCCTACCACAGAAAGGATTATCTGTTAGGTCATTTGGTTTTCGTACTATTCTCAACAAAGATCTCGACTTTATTAATGAAAACAGAACACGTAGTTCAGAGAAGAGTCTCTTTTCGGCAAATTCATTTTCTTAGCTGTACAATCGAAAATATATATGTGTTATTTGTATGTATGAGTACGTTAAGTTTGTCAAACAAAAATACAATCGGTTATGGTTATTTTAACTAAACAGGTGAAGATTGGTAATTGGCGTCACGTAATACAAAATCAGTCAAGAAAATTAGGTTTTGATGAAATTAGGGTAGTAACAAAGGTGATGAGTTCTCACAAACAGTTGTCAAAAAAGGAAGTTATGTAATAATATGAATAGTTCGATGAGTGAGTTTTACTCAGGATACGCATAGGAACAAAGTAGAGAATACGAAATTACGTAAGAGTTCTAAATGAAAACAAGAATTATAAGCAGTTAATGAACAGACAAACAAACAAAATGAAGTCATCAAAATCAACAAAGTTGTTATTATGACAGTAGAAGTGGTTGAGTAATCTTCTTTAGTATGCACAGCTCCGATTTTTCTATATGAATGGCCAGAGCTTCAGCGATACAAAGAAGACGAAACCGTATTGCCTTTGATAGATTTTCTTGACTCTGTAGATTACTATGAAGGAGGCGTTTGTTGAGATGGAATGATCAGTGTTAACCAGGTGTTCAGTTATCGCACTCCTTATTGCACCACTATTGCCTTTTCGCAACCATGCTGTATAGTGTTCTGAATCCTCTTGGACAGGGTGCGTGTCAAACGACCGATATACCTGGCTCCACAGCAGCAGGTGAACTGATATATGCACAGAGAAGTTTAAGATGCGAGATCTTGTCCTTGAAGCTTCTGCAGATCAGTAGCCGACTGAAGAACACTATTCTTAGTGTTGCTACAAGGAATGTTCTTCTCTTGAGAATATTGCTTGTCAACTCTCCCTGGAAACCAAGTTAGTGTAGAGTTTCTTTTAAAGCGCAAGTGAAGTTTCGTTCCCTCGAATTCTTAGTTTGATATTTTTGTCAATGAATCTTATTCGGTACCGATTTTGGATGACGACTTCTCTTGGCATATCTAATTCTGTTTCCAGAACGTCGGGACTACAGCCATGGCAACAACTTTGTTGATTTTGATGACTTCATTTTGTTTGTTTGTCTGTTCATTAACTGCTTATAATTCTTGTTTTCATTTAGAACTCTTACGTAATTTCGTATTCTCTACTTTGTTCCTATGCGTATCCTGAGTAAAACTCACTCATCGAACTATTCATATTATTACATAACTTCCTTTTTTGACAACTGTTTGTGAGAACTCATCACCTTTGTTACTACCCTAATTTCATCAAAACCTAATTTTCTTGACTGATTTTGTATTACGTAACTCCAAATGCGTCGGTGGCATAGCGGTTAGAACGTTTGCCGACCATGCACATGGTCCGGGGTTCGATCCCCGGCCGCCAACGCACACCTTTACCTCACTAAGCAAGAAATAATGCTGATAAAGAGGAAAGGTTGGGCATGAGGCTAGCAATCCCATCCTGTAAAAATAAACACCACTGCTACAGCAACTTCAAGCCACTAGCTTGGAGCCCTATATTCCACTGGGCAACGTAAAGGAAAAAAAACTCCAATTGCCAACCTGCATCTGCTTAATTAAAATAATCTCAAACAATTGTAATTTTGTTTGACAAACTTAACGTACACATACATACAAAGTAACACATATATATTTTCGATTGTACAGCTAAGAAAATGAATTTGCCGAAAAGAGACTCTTCGTTGAACTACGTGTTTTGTTTTCATTAATTTATTAATAATGCATGATTATGGTTTTTGCACGTGATTTGAAAATCCTTCCTAACTCTTAAAAAATGGATACTAATGAGAGGTATTTAATGTAGTGTATTTTATCTGTGGCTAGCAATTCGTTCATAGATGAGAAGACTGCCATAGTAATTCTTTCTTATCACCTGACATTGTCCTTGAGTATTCTTCGAAAGTGATAATGTGTATTACATACTTTCAGCCTTGTAAATGATGAAATAAGTAGTGATAGGTTACACGTAGACGCTAACTATTTCAGTGTGACTTTATAGCTTATATTCCAACAAAATATACTTTTATCATAGATATACTTTCTGAAGTAAACTTTGTTAGGATGATAAGCAGTAAGCTAAAAAGGTGGAAATCTGTGGGTTAAGAATAATGAAATTCTTCAAAAAATGTAAAATCTTACTCTAAGAGGCTTTTTTATTCCTTTACGTTCCCAGTGGAACTAAGGGCTTCAGTCTAGAGGCTTGAAGTTTCGGTAGCATTGGTGTTCATTTTTACGGGATGGGATTGCTAGCCTCATGCCTAACCTGTCCTCTTTACCAGCATTATTTCTGGCTCAGTGAGGTAAAGAAGTGTGTTGGCGGTCGGGGATCGAACCCCGGACCATGTGCATGGTCGGCGAGCGTTCTTACCGCTATACCACCGGAGCACTGGTTTTCACTCTCATTCATTTTTATCTTGTCAATCAGTCCAGTCCTTCTTACTTAAATGAAAATATACACTTTTGTCATTGGAGGATGAAAATTAAAGTTCACTTATTCAGAACTATAGTCTAAGCTTTACAATCCCGTTTACGTTAGTGACCACACTCACAAACTTAAAAAACACAAGGCGTCTTTTTAAAATATGACCAATGTGCTAAAGTGAGGCAACTATGCGGTATATCCTTTTTTTGAAGTGGCAACACCTTTATCCGGTAGGTATTAGGGTGTTTCAATAAATAGGACGAAATATACCGGCATAATTTCAAGAAATATCAATAATACACGTGTAACTTTTGAACTTCCTGTCTCCTTTAATCCGCCACATTCAGCAGACATCATTATCAAGTTACGTAGTCTGATAAGAGTGTAGCAAATTTAAAGCAGTTCAAGAAGTAATGCCACCGATAATATATATGTCAGAAGAAAATTTTTAAATGTAAAATTTAATTTAAAACCATATGGACTATCACTCAACTACCATAGCAACGAACTATGACGCTACAATTAGCGGAGATCTGCAGCAAAGCCACTCGTAAGAGCGTACTTGCACACACCTAGGAAAACACTGGCATAAAGAAAGCCTGACTGTAAAGGACTTAAAAGAGGAGTGATTCTGACTTTATTCCCATTCATTTTTATGACATTTTTCAAAACCTTGATGTCTGAATATTTTGAAATAGCCTCTGGCTGAATTAAAGTATCATAGCGAAAATCACAGTGACCTTGAATGACCAGTCAGAGTGAAGATGGAGGAAAGTCATTCGATCGTTAAAAAATGTATTAAAAAGCATTGCAAACATGATATTACACTGGATAATTGTCTATTATGTGTTGTAATAATGTCTCTAAGTTACTCCAAGGATAATCCATAGAGAAATCATACCACACGCTATAGATGTATTCATGCAGATGACTGTAGACCATGTTACTTCACGATCCATTAATATCCCTTACTCTATTCTTTAGCCTACTCCTAGCCTTAACAGAAAAACGTACCTAGTGAATAAGTAGAATATTGTGTCTACCTTTAGGAACGGATTTCGTCTTTTAGCATAAACTGCTTCTACAGTAATATTTATCTCTTACACACCTGTATTGCCTCATTGTCATACTCTTCTCGACGAAGTTACACAATAGCATTCCAGGGTGCAAACGCCCCAGTGACCTTGAACGCATGCTAGTCGTTGGCTACTGACAGCTGTCATTGTTACAGAACAAATATGAACTCTATTCGTCAAGTAAGGAGCAAATTTCACCCAAGTCACGTTTTTAGCTACTGTTTGCACGATGTGTTAATAGCTCGTTAGGGTTAGGATAAGGATTATAATTAGGGTTAAGATTAAAGTTAGGATTAGTTTTAAGATTAGGGTTAGGGTTACTTTCAGGGATAGATTTAAATTTGGTATGATTTATTTCGCGCGTTGATGGTTCAGCGGTAGAATGTTGGCCAACCACGCATGTGGACCAGGGTTAAATCCCCGCCGACGCACTCCTTTACCTCGCTAGCTGTAGGTCCCCACATCCCGTAGCTAGCAGGAATCTTGTAATTAGGAATGAACATTAAGTTATCTGTGCGTCGGTGGCACAGTGGTTAGGACTCTCGCCGACCATGCACATGGTCCGAGGTTGGATTCCCTGCCGACGCACATCTGATATCTATGGTCGGCCTTCGAAATTTGGGCTACCGATATCCATGCTGAATATTCCATACTTGTACCAAAAATACGGTGTGGAATCAAGCTGTAAATCAAAAAAAAATTAGAAATTAGGCCGTAAAGAGGGAAGGTTCAGGGTGAGGCTAGAAATCCCACCCCGTAAAAAAAACACCACTGCTACCGAAACCCAAAAGCTCTAGCTTGAAGCCTTATGTTCCACCTTGGAACCTAAAGGAAAAATATATTGAAAAATTATTTTAATTTGTTTCATTATCCACATTTTACTATAACTAGCCGTCGACGCGCTTAATGGAAACCATAGTAATTCAACCTAAAAGCTTTTGAGGAAAACTGTAAAACAGCATGAAAGCTACAAACGGGACACAAGAAAACCTCGTCTCGTTGAATACATGTACAGAAACTGGTCTAACTTAAGAACTGATATTCTTCACTATAACTGGGACGTATTTTTAAGTCATGTCAGAGAGAGATACCCAGTTTAATGTGAATTCGCGCATTTTCTCGTAAATAAACGTCATATTTTGTGCAAAAATCATTCATTTTTATGATGATTTGACTCAAGGTCACTCTTGCATTTGCATCCCTTCGGACGTTATTGTTTAACTTTACCCTCTCTCCAAACAAATAGGCAGGTATGATTTGATTTGGAATGACCTTTCGTAGGGTCCCCTAAATCGGTTGCTTCTTCAAGGTGAACTTTCGACAAACCTTGATTTTGTCTGATATACTTAAACTTCGCCAACTTCTGACAACAGCACTTCAATTTATTTGAAAATGAATTATGTTTTCTTATTTTTCTTAATTATATTGAATTTACTTTAATTCAAGTCGGTGGTATAGCGGTAAGGACGCTCGCCGACCATGCACATGGTCCGGGGTTCGATCCCCGGCCGCCAACACACACCTTTACCTCACTGAGCAGAAATAATGCTGATAAAGAGGAAAGGTTGGGCATGAGGCTAGCAACCCCATCCTGTAAAATAAACACCACTGCTACAGCAACTTCAAGCCACTAGCTTGAGCCCTATGTTCCACTGGGCAACGTGAAGGAAAAAATTATTATTAAAAAAAATATTAGACGTTACTGGTGAAACTAATGTTGAAATCAAACGCTTACTGTTAACATTCTAGTGGCAAATATTCAGGTGATATGATAGTTACTCAATTTTTTTCATACGACAATCCCAGTGAATAAAAGAGTTAAACTTCACTAATCATAGCTTGGTAATCTTATTAGAGGACTAAATAAAAGCTTACTCAACACAGACGTCAACTACTTACCAGATGTTCAGTCAATACATTTATGTATTATTACTATTACTATTACCATTTTACTCCTACAGAAAACCTTACCTCGTTGGATTAATGAATACCTTCAAGGCACAAGATATAAATTGTATACAGTCAGATTTTCTCGTGCTTTTGATGGGATGATGTTTCAACAATTAGTTGGGTGAGTAAATGTTTTTCTACAGTTAGGTAATCTAAATGCTTGCATAAATACTAAGGAAGAATTCAGGTATACTTTATGTTGAGGGGATCTGCAGACACTGATGAATTCTCGTAATACATATATTTTGTAGGGCGTCTGTTGTCACATGTACACTGAAAATTTCATTTCGACTTTCATACAAGCCCTTAGACGATATTTAAATAAGTTATCGACAGGCGTGTGAGCGTTGATCTGGAGACTTTGTATATACCATTTCCACGTTCTCTGATTGGTAGATTGCAGTTCTCTGACATTAAGATCAATCAGCTAATTAGAATTTAATTTGTGGATGGTGACTAGCATTGGAATCCAGGAGAAAACGCATTTCGTCCTATTTGGGATTCTCCAACTGGATGTACCTGCATTTCTCAGTGAGTGATGATGTTCCCACAGAGACTCGAACCCAGTGCACAAGAGGCCGACATGTCAAACCGGGACCGAGCACTTCGGTCCAATCAATCGACGGGAAATTTTCAAATTCAATTATGATTAATATGACCCGTTGCACAAGAGGTGGCTATCGTCTAGTGGATAACGCTTTGGCGTTTGAAACCATGGGCACTGGGTTTGACCCTCTGTGGGAACATCATCACTCACTGGGAAATGCAGGTACATCCAGTTGATGAGTCCCGAATAGGACGAAATGCGTATTGTCCTGGATTCACTGCTAGTCACCATCCACAAATTAAATTCTAATTAAATGCCAGACATCGTCCAAGCATCTGCACAAGAAGCTGACATGTGAACGTGAGACCGAGCACTTCGGTCCAATCAATCGACAGGAAAATTTCAAATTCAATTAAAATCAGCTAATTACTTCCAGTTTCTACACTGCATCTTTTGGACATAATTATCTGCTTCTTCTTACAATTAATATCTTGTTTTCAATAGTCTTCTAAGTCTACCTAATCAAATTAGATTAAACAAAATATTAGAGCGCATATTAGTTAATACTCAAACTTAACTAATTCAAGATTCATATTTATCACATAACACGGGGGTGTTTTTTTTATTTTTTTGATTACAGCTTGATTCTACACTGTATTTTTGGAACAAGTATGGAGTTTTCAGCATCGATATTGGTAGCCCAAATTTTACAGGCCGACCATAGATATCAGGTGTGCGTCGGCAGGGGATTGAACCTCAGACCATGTGCATGGTCGCGAGAGTCCTAACCACTGTGTCAGGTTCTAAAGACAATAAAGCTTGTTTGCTAGTTATGCATTCTACTCAACAGCCATATATGTATACTTACACATTACACATAAAACCAGGGTTATTGTATAAACACTGATGAAAATAACTAGTTTCCTAAACTCTGTGGATGGGGGTGGTGTGGGGTTGGAGGGTAGTTTGAATTTTTGACCAAACTATTGAAAGTTTACTATTTGGATAAATGGACCTTAGCATCATTAGATGTATCAAACAGTAAAATTTCTGATGCTAGTTACCTTTCTATTCACCCCGGAGGGATTTAGAAGACTTGAGTTCATCTTTTGTAAATTACTCATTCCTCGCGGTTTCCTTAGGAAAACTGAAATGTTCACATCACAATATCTGACTTGCTTAAAACGATAAGTGAAAACAAAGAAAACAAGCAGCATGGTAATATTGTAACAACAGAAGACAAGAGTCAGGCAACAGATCGTTTATTAAGGAAATCAACACATATTTATAGATTTTCATGTACGTATTATACACTATTGTTAGCAGAAAAACACAGTCTTCTGATTGATTGTTTCTCACAGAAAGTTAACCTTGCATCTCTTTGTGACTGTTTTTGAATGTCAGATCATAGATATGTTAACTGTATCCGCCTACGCAAAGTCTTTGTTCCTATTTTTTTCACTACCAATATTTGGGAAATAAACATTGACGTAAATTACTATCCACCAATTTTGACCAACAGCCAGCTCTCACCACAATAGGATATCTGCTACTCACTGAAATAGGTAACTGGAGGCCACTGATGTTAAGCAGTGTTGGTTGCTATCCAGACCAAAGTGGTCTAAGCACCGGATGGCCATTTCGTCCGTTTGGAGCCGGGTACAGCAACGATATAGACTCAGTTAGACTCAACGATTTACTTAGACTCAGTCAATAAGTACTTGTCTCAGATTAGATTAAAGGTTGATATTAGTTAGAAAACCACTGAAAACGAGCAACGGAGTTCTGAACAGCTGTTTCATCCTAGTTTGGGAATCATCGGTAGTAAGCACCCACCATAGGGGATTCGAACCCAGGACCTCCCGGCTACAAGGCTAGTGAGCTTGTACACCATTCAGTCAACATACATTTGTTTGCTAAATTATCATGTAGCCTAATATAACCCCCCCCTCATCGCTATGGAAACTTCAGAGCATAAAGAAAATACACAGCGTGTTAACACGTATTAACCTCCCAAAACAGAAGATGCCAATTTCCACACTTCATACTGAAGCTTTAGAAAAGTATCTGATAAATCTCTTCCATGTACCGACACATGGTTGTTTTGTATATCAATTAAAGTAGGAGAACTTTCAGTTGTCCATGAATTCTAACTTCTACCAATTCGTGATTTTTAGTGTGACCACCAACCAATGTCATCGGTGGGGACTCCACCCTCACTCGCGACTGGATGGAACCCACTGGTCACAACTTCTCCGTAGAATTCCAGGCAACTTCGTCCTGTAACCGGTCACTAGAGAGCATCAGATTAATTTTGCAGAATCAGCTTGTAGGGATTCTATTTGTTTCAGGTTAGATCTCGGGAGTGAGGATGGAATTCCCACCGATGACACTGGTTGGTGGTCATGCTAAAAATCAGGAATTGGTAGAAGTTAGAATTCATGGACAACTGAAAGTTCTCCTACTTTAACTGATATACAAAACAACCATGTGTCGTTACATGGAAGAGATCTATCAGATACTTTTCTAAAGCTTCAGTATGAAGTGTGGAAATTGGCATCTTATGTTTTTGGAAGTTAATACGTGTTAACATGCTGTATGTTTTCTCTATCCTCTGAGGTTTCCATAGCGGTGGGGGGGGTTTATATCAGGCTACATGATAACTGAACAGACAACTGCATATTGGTTGATTTGTAAGGAAATAACAAGATCGTTATGGGCTTTCCTCTTAGTTAGTACACTATCTTGTATTTAAACATTTTCTATAGTTTGGTTTGTAAGGGTTAGTTATGTTTATACGAGTTGATCACGGATTGATATCAGTTAGAGAACCATTGAAAACCAGCAACAGAGTACTGGACAGCTGCTGTTTCATCCTAGTTTGGGAATCATCGGCATTACGCACCCACTGGGATTCGAACTTGCCTTGTAACCGGAGGGTCCTGGGTTCGAATCCCAGTGGGTGCGTACTGCCGATGATTCCCAAACTAGGTTGAAACAGCAGTTGTCCAGTAGTCTCTGGTTTAAACATTTCCAAATAAACTCTTTGTGACTAGGAATTCTAAATATAAGGCTAGGAAACTACAGTGAAAACATACTGGAACATAATTCGATTGAACACAATCCTGTAGTGTTGGTAACAATTGGGTTTTCGGTAAAATAAAACGTCTAATTTTATCTCTTTTAGAATGATTTATTCACATCTTTACACCCTATTTTCTTTATATTTATTTCAGATTAGCCATGGAACTTTGGGGTATACTTCTATTAGCTGTACACATATTTCTTGATAATGAAAAGACAGAAATGATTATCAATCCCGGTTGCAGAATGCGAATAAATACCCATAGAATGCAAGCAGTTGTTCTGGCTAAGAATTTAATCGAAGCACAACGGTAAATTCGGTTTGTTTTCTTTTAGTTTTAGGCTTTTTGTTCTACCAATTTTTTTAATGCTGTTGTGTTGATATTTATGTGAGTTAAAAGTAAAATTCAACCAATTCAATTCAACGGGCCTTATTAATTATTTAATTTAATTCAGATTTTCTCATCGATTGATTCCACCGAAATGCTCGTTCTCAAGTTGATGTGTCGACTCCTAGTGCAGATGCTTCGACAATGTCTAGTCATGTAACTTGAGGTCAGTTTGTAGATGGTGACTAGCAGTGGAATCCAAGGTGCGCATTTCGTGTCATTTAATAATAACTGACACTCATTGCACAAAGAGTGGCTGTCGTGGCCCAAGTAATCTAGTGGAAACCTTGGGCACTGGATTCGAGCCTCGGTGGGAACACCATCGCCCATTGGGGAATGCAGGCACGTCCTTGTGACGAGTCCCAAATGGGACGAAATGTGTGTTGTACTGGATTCCACTGCTAGTCACCCCCACCCACCAACTGACTTCAGGTTACATGAACAAACATCGTCAAGGCATTTGCACAAGGAGCCGATATGTCAACGTGAGACCGAGCACTTCGGTCCAATCAATCGACAGGAAAATCTAAACTGAATCAAATTAGCCGTTTTATGTCTAAATAATTTTGTGGCGTGTACACTCATTAGTACAAAGAAGAAAAGAAAAGAATGTGTTTATCTGTGATGTCAAGATAAATAAGATGCCACTAATTTTCAAAATCAGTGCACCATTTTACTTCCTGAGACATACAAATCCAGTGGATACCTTAAACTGTTGATCAGAAGCATAGATACCGGAATTAAATTGAAATGGAACACAGACAGATTTTAAGGTATTCGAAATAAAAATGGACATTAGGCAAACTTGCTTGGAGTGAAGTAAGTAAGTAAGTAAGTAAATGAGACGAATGAGGCTAGAATTGCTCATTCAAACTTAAAACCTTTGTAGCTTAACTGAAACTTTTTTTCTGAAGAACAGCTGGTCCTATCGAACTAGATACCGAAGAGTAAATCTTGATCTCTCACTCTACCAAAAGAGATCCTAACTCACCTTTCTGAGTTATAACTTATCACTCTTCACTTAATAAGTCCTGATGGAACTCCTTTTGTGATACTTGCAGTGCAGTAAAAATTTAATTTCACTATATTGGAAGAGAGCTCTGTTTTACCTCTAAATAGCAATCAGCATTAAGGATATATAAATCGCACAGATTATCGTTCAGTATTCGATTTGTGAAACTGAATATAAATTGTACTGCATAACTTCGAAAGTTTGACCTCTAGGCTTTAAATGAAAAAAACTACAGGAATAGCATGACATTTCATCATCATTTTTTCTAAAATGAAAATTGAATGTACACTGTTATTTGTTCCTTAAGGTTCTGAGTGGAATGTAAGCCATCAGGAGCACATCTTCACTGCACTCAGTACTCTGCTATCATTTTTCACATAATTCCTCGACTGCCCATGTGATCCCATACATAACACCTTCGGATCCATCCTCGACTTGTCGCTTAACACTTGGGCTCCACTTTAGAGGCTGACATGTGACGTCGTCTGAATGTCTCCTCAGAGTGAGTCCAATCCACCTGCATAACTATTTGGCAGTAGGTTCCTGGCTTAAGGACAACACTCACCGATGACACTGACAAGTGACTGACCTAAAATCATTAATTGGTAGAAGTTGGAGTTCATAGGCCACTGAATTGCATCCCAGCGGCTGAATAGTATGCGAACTTGCCTTGTAACCGGGAGGATCTGGGTCCGAACCCGGTCGATTGGTGCATTCTGGGAAGAGTCACAAACTAGAACGAAACAAACCTCCAGTACTACCTAGTTTTTAGTGGCCATGGTGGTATGATCCTTCGATGTCGGCTCTTCCTATCATTGTGAAGCAGAATTCACCAAGTGTTGGATTATTCACCCAGTATTAGGGAACGTGAGCTGGGTTTAGACCGTCGTGAGACAGGTTAGTTTTACCCTACTAATGAGTACAGTAATCAGTGAACAATCTGGCTGTTACTGTGGTAATCGTGTTTAGTATGAGAGGAACCGCAGGTTCAGACAACTGGTATATCTGCCTGTTCCAAAGGCCACTGGTGTGAAACTACCATCTGAGGGATTAAGACTAAACTCCTCTAAGTCTGAATCCCGTATATATTTGCAACGGTGCATTCCGTATCCGACACGTGGCTGGGGAAGCTTAAGTATTCCTTTTGGTGTCTGGACTGGACCATGTGTTCGGCTAGGCCCATTAGGTCTGATGTTACACCAGAGCGATGATCATAAACTATGCTCTAGATTTCGGGCGTAGGGGTCGACACGATACCTAATTGTGTCGTGAGGATACTAAATCGTTTGTAGACGACTTAATGTTTTGTCGGGGGAGATGTAAGTTCTCGAGCAGCTAGGCATTGAATCCTATCCCTGCTTGACGTAATGAAAATCAGTCTTATTTTTCTGACATTTCTCTTAAGAAAGATTTTTAATCCAATTCTATAATAATAAAAAATACTATACAATAAAATTTTATTCTGTATGCTAGTTGAACTCTGTTTTGTTTTCATTAAATTGGATTTTTTTTAAATAGCCTAAGGACATTTACTATGGATGATCAACTGATGTTTGATAATCTCGGTCAAATTATACTTACACCAGCAGCACAGGATCCAGGTAAAAAGAAAAAAACTATCAGTACAAAATTAATATTTCTGTTCATTAAGCTGTTACAACAAATTAGGATGAATATATATATATATACATTTATTAACTGGAGCTAAAACTAAATTTCTTTCTTCACAGATTGAAGTTCTACTTGTTAATGGCAATGACTTTAAGCTTAACGACTATATTAGTGTTAACTGAACGCTACTAGTAAACTGTACAATATAAAGAAAAACTAGCATCATTGTATATACTACTGAATAATATAAGTAGTTGGAAACCACTTGTGTCAACTAGTAGGGCTTATGAATTTCTCCATCTTTTATGATTTTGTATTGAAAATTAGTCATAGAAATAAAAAGTTAATCTACGGTCTTCCAGTGAAATAGTAATCTAATGTGTATCACGTGACACAGTGCTGTTCCATTATTAGTATTTATTATTATTTCTTTTAATTCCTAGAGGAACAAAAGGATTCAGCTGCACGTCCCCATTGCGTTCAGTTCTCTGCTAAAGTTTTCACCTGGCTCCAGGTCTGCCCACATACTTTCATCCTCGTCCAAGTCACCCTTGGACGACCAACTCGCCGCTTCCCTTTCGGGTTCCACTCGAGCAATGGCTTGTCTAGTGATGTCACTTGATGGTTTCCTCAGAGTATGGCCAATTCACCTTCATTTCTTCCTGCATATTTGTTTCACAATCGGTTCCTGGTTGGTTCGCTTACTGCCAGAGATCCCTTCTGCTGATCTTTTCTGGCTGGCCATCTGATCTTGAGTAGTGAGCGGAGGTGGCTGTTAATGAAGGTTCCATTATGAAACATAAACTAATTCCTCATGACCATTTTTGCTTCATCTTCAAGAAATATTCACCGGTAGTTTGAAAGTCGATCAAAAATGTTCATGAGTACACTTTTCAACTCACTGACATAACTAAATGGTTAAAACAATAGTAATTACAGAAAATATGATGCGTTCAGGTAGTCCAGTGAGTCAAGCAGGCCGTCAAATGATAAATACATCGGTGGGTGAATAATCTGCAACACTTCTGACATTAATATATGTATTTCTCAATGATTTCTTTCTTCAAGGTAGATAGTTCTTTAGCTATATATATTACGCATGTATGTTGTTGTTCAAGTTGAAGTAATAAGCATAGAAAGAAGAACTGCAAACAACTGACTCCTTTTATTAGTTTAAATAAGGAAAGAACGAAGATTATTATTGGTCTTTTGAGTCCCAAGTGGAACATAGGGCTTCAACAAACACATCTTTATTTCGTCCTGTTCTTTGAAGGGCCCACAACTGCCCATAATCTTTATCACTTCCTCTTCACACAACCTCCTTCATGTCGTAAGATTGAACACACTTTCAGTATAATATGAGCTCGTTAAAGTTCGTGGAATTTTGTCATTTGCATACATCCGAAACTATATGAAAATATGATAAGTTACAAAATTTCTGAACATACTTTCATCTCAGTGATGTCGAGCTACTGATAGAAAGTATAAGCAACATAATTCCAAAGATGATGTAAGCAGATGAACGTACACCTTGGATTTCACTGCTAGTCGTCATTGACCGAAAACCACCATATTTATGTACATTTGGATGACGTGTGAACTGACGTTGAAAACTCAAAAACACATGAAAATTAGAACATGTTAGTTTTGATCGTGTGAAATATTCCCGCTTACGTCTCCTACACATAACTGAGGCTGTTGCAATAAGATCGACTAAACCGGAACTTTGTATTCAAAAAGAACACGTCCAGACGCTGTTCCTACCGTGGCCAAACTTGAATTGATGATTTTTCTTCTCACCAAGAGTGCTCCTTTCCCTTAACGCTCTTGGTTTTTTTCTTTTGTTTTACTTTACTTATTATTACAGTTATTATTATTCGTCATAATTTATACTCAATACTATCGAAATTTTCATTTATACGAACTTATTATTAGTGATATTATCTCTTTTCTCAATATATATGCCTCCACCTGTTTCATTTTACATATTCGTTATCTCATTATGAACCTTTCATTGCAGTCTTATTATCTCCTGTTTAACACAGATCACTTTGTACTAGCCACTCACCTGATACTTTTTATAATCTTGAACTGATTTGTCAATTTTCCCACCTCACACTCTACAAATCTATTATGATTAATCACCACCATTGTCTCCCATTTTACAATATTTTGGTTATCGATTTCAGCCTAACATGTTTGTCACACAAACACGACTATTTACTTTAATACCCCATAACTAATCTGTTATTCTACGTTAAAAATGTATCCGCCGCATAACTGGCCTTCACTGTAACGACCACAAATATTATATTTTATAATTGTAAGAACCTGAATAGGAGAAATTATTGAAAAGAATATTCTTCGTTCAGATTGACATGTTAGTTTGTTTCACCAATACTATTGAAAAGATTGTTTAATTTAAAGAGCTTTTTTGGTAAATCAAGATAAGTAGAAAGTTTTTCAGAACTGAATTCTTAGTGAAGTACATGTGATAAACCTACAGAATGAATATAAACAGACCACAATTTCTTAAATCACTGACTAATGCTCTGTATTAACATTATGAGACTCAAAAATATAGCGTATCAGTGAAATGTTCCCATAGAAGTTGGCAGTAAATACTCAAATCACTGTTAACTAGTCATACTACTATCAAGTAGGCTATTCAAACCTCCTAAATAACCAAAACCTCTAATTATACGTAGTGTTAACTGTCTCTTGATTCAGATCACTCTTACTCAAACTAATAACCCGGAAGAACAAGTGTGATACTCATTCGTTTCATAATTAAGAAAAATAACGCTTTAAATGAAGTCTGCGATTAAATAGCACTAAAGACTTTTTCATTCTGAGTATCTCAGTCTAGCTTTTCTAACACAAGGATATGCACAAGGCAACATGGATTTCACCTGAAGGACATAACAAAAGCCAGACAGAATTCGTCGCAATACTTCTCAAGAAAGTGGAGACACAGAGGTGGGCTTGGACCATTGCCTAGTTCAAGGAACCGTCAAGGTGAAGCTTAAATCTCTCAGAACATTTGGAGACATACCACAATTCAAGTTCGACATTTAGAAACTGAAGGACAAAATTACAAGGAATAACTTCACTGTAGATATCAGAGCCAAGTCGGTGACATACGGAGATGGGCTGGACACATGGTGAGGAAGTCGTCAAATGACATCTTGCGCCATGCGATAACTCGACTGAAACCCGTATGGGAAACGACAGGCTGAGTTTCCTAGGGTGACATGAAGGAGATATTGTGAGGAGTTGAGAGACTATAGGAAATCTTGGGCTCAGCTGAAGAGGACAGCAGAAAATAGAACAAAACAGAAATGTGTTGCCAACGCCCTATATTCCACTCGGAATTCAATGGAGCCATAAGCACTTTAGGAGACAATAAAAACTAATCAATACAGTTAGCATTCACGAAGCTAAACTACTGTCTTCAGCGCTACTTTACTTCCAGTTAAATGAAACACTTTTAGTTGAATGGTTGACCTACCTAGGTCATTTTTAAAACTCTGATAAATTAACTTATGTGCGAAATTTAATTTCCTGCATAGATAATAACCGCGAACAGTCGAAAACACTCCTTACCAGAAGAACACAGTACACAAAACAAATTAAAACTTGTATGAATTTTCTTCGAGAACCACTTGCAACATACAAGAAAATTAAGTAAGAAAGCATGTTTATTTTCTGTTGAATAATGACTTAACAAAAAAGACAATCATTCCTTTTTATTTTACGGATTACATAATTTTTTCTCATGTATGGTTTTAGACAAAGCAATAAGAAGACGTAATTTGTCTGAATCGTGTAATGTATTTGCTTACAACACATTTCGAACAATCTCATCACATACTGGCTTGTCATAGGGATATATATGAAATTAATAAGAGTTAAGACGTGAGAAAATAGATTTAGGTCAAGTTGAAAGGACATACTGAAGGTCTTCAAAATAACAATGAAGACCACTTAACAAAATAGCAGAGGTAATAATACATCCGATATGGTATCAAAACAAAATTTACCAAGGAAGGTTTAATGTGATGACGAATTGTTTTTGAACGCATAGAGGTGGCTTAAACTTTCTAATGGGTTCTGAAGATTCCATTTGTTTCTGAAGCCATTTAGGAATATGCTCCAAAGCCAGCCCTTACTTGCAGAGATCGATGAGTCCTTCCCATGTATGCGCGTCCACACGTAGATTCAAATCGGTAAATACAGTGGGATGTGACATCATTTTTCGCATGTTCGAAGGGCTTAGGTAGATATATTGGCTTCACATTCTCAGTTATTATGATATTAGCTGCATAAAATGTCTTTTTAACAGCAGCGTTCAATCTTTGTCTAGTTATTAAGCTGCTCTCATACCTAATATAAGTTAGCTTGGTGTACACGTCTTTCTTAGGGCGAGTTGGAGAGTGAGTCTTGGTGTTCTGACTACTTTATATCTCCTGATGAACTTATCTGGATAATTGTTATTAACCAGAGTTTGTGTCAACTTTCTTTCTTCTTCATCATCATGTGTGCCTTCAGTGCATATTCGTTGGATTCTACTGAAGATGCACCTCACTCACTAAGGCTCTTTTGTACCGAACAGGGCAGAAACTGTGGTAACATAAGATACTGTCCTACCCAAGTAGGTTTTCTATAAATAGATCTTTTACAAATATCAGACAAATTACGTCTTCTTATTGTTTTATCTAAATTCTCAAAGGGAACTGATTGTTTTAAATGTATTTATTTCCTGTTGTGTTTTTTTTCCATTTCTTGCATTCTGAATGGAATATACAGTTTCAAGCTTTGAGATTTCAATAGCGGTGGTATTTTTCGAGGGTATGGTCGCTAGCCTCACACAAAAACTTCTGTCTCTTCTAGGCTTACCACGGTCGAGTTAACTAGGCGTGGTTTATAGGCGTTCTTTCGCGCCTATCACAGTCGAACCTGCATCTCCTACATGCCTGGGTAGCATTGTGTCTTTCAACAACAGATCATGGTTATTGATCTTAGTTATATCAAAGTGATACTGGAAATATCCTTTGTATTATTGTTGTACCAATGAGACAGATATTCTATCATATTCAGAAAAATGAAGCAGTATAGTGTAGTTGAAAAACATTTGTAACAAAATGGGATGTTTATGAAACGATGCAATACTTTCTTTAGCTGTGTAGGCTCCTTTAAAATGGGAGTAACATTTGCGAATAAATTCATAATCAAAATGTCAAATGCTTTTAATAAACACTGTGGCTAAGACAATAAAATAATGATTTGGGATATGGACAATATAAAAGAATAAACCGTTCTGCTTTAACAAAAATATGATATGAACTAGAGACACTGGGCTCCCGTGAATGATCAAAGCTTACACTTACAAAGCTGATAGAGTGATATGTTTCCATCTAGTCGTCTTTCATTTTCTTTAAACTTGACCCTACTCCAAACAAATTTGCCAGTCGAAAAAAATCTAGGTTAACAAGGGGATCATGTTAAACGTGCAGTTCAGTATATGAACCATATCATAGGAACTATCTCAGCTTATTTATAGCCATTACTTTAGTAATTTATACCAAAATTCATCATCTTTAATATAACAACTAAGTGCGTCGGTGGTATAGCGGTTAGGACGCTTGCCGACCATGCACATTGTCCGAGTTCGATCCCGGCCGGCTCACTCCTTTACCTCGCTAAGCCGGAAATAAAGCTGGAAAGGGAAAGGTTGGGCATGAGGTAGCAACCCCATCCTCTAAAATAAACACCACCAAGCCTCTAGCTTGAAGCCCTATGTTCCACTGAAAACGTGAAGGAATAAAAGAAAAGAAGAATATAACGATTTCATCGTAGATTGATTATACTGCAAACATGCAAGTTATCAGATTATTGAAACCTTTCCAAGTCCTTCATCTTTAATTGTCATGTAGCATAATTTCACGGGAGAATATTGGTCTTTGATTGGACATTATAACTAGCGTGATGTGTCTAGTCCTTTCATTGATGCAGACTGGATTCTATCAGTCAGGTTTGCAATGTGGCCACCATTATAGGTATCTCGCCATCACAGTGCACATTGATCTGATGATATTAGATGGTTGGAGGCAATCGGCAGGAAGCCTTGGACCTAGTTACTAGTGTCCAATCAAAGTATCCACTACAGTCCTACAAGAAGAAAGTCAGTCGCGAGCCCAAATAGCTCAGTGGTAATGTCTCTGACTGAAGCACTAGGTGATGCGGGTTAGAATTTCAGAAAGGATATGAATTCCTTCAAGGTTTCTGACTAGTGAGTGCCAACTAGCACGAAACCTAGGTCCAAAGCTTCCTGCCGATTGCCTCAGACAATCTAATATCATCAGAACTTTGGTCTCTTTTGTTCGGTACAGTGGACGTGTACTGAACGTTCACACATAACTTTGTCATCGTAAGTAGCTGAATTCAGTGACAATAATCGAGCATATTATATCGTTGCCTAGATGTTGCCAGCCAAAATCCCACTAATATTAATAAAACGTTTCGAAAAATTGAACGTCGGAACAATCAAAGAGTTCTTCGTCTCCTGTCAGACAAAGAAAAGCTGAGACTTATTATCCTGAATAATCGATTTCAGATAGTGTATCACAGTTCCGAAATCTACCCCAGTTTCTGTTATTCCAGTAACCGTCTGGACTCACTATCATGTAGAAAATAGCTTTGACGAGGTATCAGGCTAGTTATGAAACAGTAACTCAGACTTAGCAAGTTTCTTTCAATGTTAAGATTTACGATTATATACATATGATTATAACTAATAATAAAACTGAGAAGGACCTGAATTTGAACCTCAGTGGGTTCATACTGTTGAAGAGTCCAAAACCAGGCTGACGAAACAGCCGATCAGTACTCCCTGCAGATTTTCCAATGGTTTTCTAACTGATATCAGCTCGTGGTGAAATCCTCCAGCCAAATTTAGATTCTGTCCATAACAGAAGAAGGATAAAAGTGTTATACAAGACCGTAGATATTACGAATTTCCTGGAGTCAGATTGAACCACTATAAATTATTTATAATAATTCCAGTTTGAAATAGTTGTTGTTTCTTCCATACCTCAAAATCTGAACTGTAATTTGCCCAAATTAAACAAGATTTTATGTGATGCTAAGTCAGTTGCTAAATCTTATCAACTTATCGATTTCTAAGTGAACTTCATCCATTCCTTTGTAGATTTCTAGTATTCAGTTCACAGAAAATGTCTAATGAAAAGATGTGTAGCTCAGGTGGATTATTTCTATGTGATTGCGTTCTCTGAGCTCAGTGGTTCACTTTATGCTAAAGTTTGCCCTGAAGATGTTGTCCAGAAGCACAATTAAACCACTCAACTCAGAGAACTCAACCACTTTAAAAAGAGATCTGTATTTCTTATTAACGACTACTTTTCTGTATGTAATCTTAGCAATTTTCATACTCTGATATTATTTATTCTGTATTTTTCAGTATTGGTTTTGTAGGAATTTTGTTTGATTGGATGGAGGATTTCATCATGAGCTGACATCAGTTAGGGAACCGCTGGAAAACCTGGGAGAACCGGACAGCTGTTTCGTCCTAGTTTGGGACGGTCTCAGTGGTTCAGTGGTCTACGAGCTCGCCTTGTAACCAGAAGGTCCTGGATTCGAACCCCGTCGGATGCGTACTGATGAAGAGTCCAAAACCAGGACGAAATAGCCTCCCAGTAGACCATCGTCTCCCAGTGGTTCTCTAACTGATGTCACCTCATGGTGAATTCTTCTATCCTATATTTGCTAACGTTAGAGTTATTAACAAAAAACCACTACAACACAACTGACACTATAATAACGTTACACTACAAACTATTTCCCATTTGGTAAGTGTTTCGATAACTCCTCCTCCTCTAGTGTTCATCCAATGAAGTCAACAGTTTAATCGATTTCAAAAACCACTAAAAACTCAGTTCACACATAAAGTGACTAGCTGAATCAAAATTAAAACTGATAGAATATCATTTATACGAATTCTAATTAAGATTTGACGAAATAGTTTCATAAACAATAGGCGCAGAGTGAATAGTGAGCATATATATATATATATATGAAGATGACTGTCGTTCATACGCCTGTCATAAACTGCTCCACAGGAACGAACACACCTTCAAACCTGTGCTTCTACTCAGAAATAATACTGTTATCCATCTCACTTGGTGAAAATCCTATAAATAGAAATAGGATTACAAGAATGTCATAATGAAAACTACTCAATAGTGGATGTTAGCTTCACATTAATATTATTTGTCATACTAATATTATTACCCATCAACTTTTACTTTTTTGTTTTCTTAATTGGAACAATATTACACTCTAGGGGAATAAATTATTCCCTAAAATATCTAAGTGTGCAAGTAATTTTTCAATAGCATCACATTATCGTCTTCCACAAATGGACAGTGTAATCCCCGATTTGACACGTGTACAAAGGTTGAATTCAATTGACTTACAGTGTGATAGCACGGGTTTATTTTATTGGGTAGCTGAAAGGAAATTCTCAGATGTATGCTTGGTAAGTGATTATAGAGTGATAACAACTAATAACTGTTATATCATATGCTTCATAGATGTCTATATATTTTATTTTCATCAGGGTAGGTATGTAACGACAGAAGACAAGGGTCAGGCCAGACAGTTCGTTTATTGAGAAAATCAACAGATATTTATACATTTTAATGTACATTATTATTTAGCATTATGGTTAGCAGAGAAGCAACATCTTCTGACTGGTTCTTTTCTTGCTGAAGGTTATTCCGTACTGCTTTACACCGTTTCTTAGAAAGTTAAGCCATATATCTGCGAATCGTATTTGCACAAGCTAAGTCTGCTGTGATTGGTTGTTGAGTTCCTTAAGTTTAAGCTTTGTTATTGTTTTTTTTCAAATGAACCCGGTTCGAGATGTAAATTTTGACGTAAATTGTTGTCCAAAGTTTTGACTTGTAGCCAGCTTTCACCACAGGTGTATTTCCTTGTATTATAGATATTATTTATTGTCTGTGTCAAGTGATTATAACTACCTTTGAGTTTCTACATTCTGTGTGGTTTTAATGATAATAATAATTTGCTTTATTCTAGAAACAGTACTAGTGGTACAGTGTGGAATTTTCAGCACTTATCTACAATATTGCATCTAATTTTATCAAACATTTAAAAGGAGTATTTCAAAAAAATAAATATAAAAAACAACAACAAAAACACACAAAATAGCAAAAAAAATGAGAAAAAATACCAAGAAGTAGAGAGGAAAATAAACAACATAATAAATAATGTCTCACTATTGGGTGGTGGAAGCTGTGATATGTTTATGCGTGGTGAACAGTAAAACCACATCATACAAATGATATTAAGAATGTTTGTCGCATGATCAGTCAATTTGATTGTCAGCTCTAATGCGGTGTCTGTAGTGGTAGGGTGAGTAATCCTTCATAATACAAAATTTAAGATGGTGATAATGGCGTTCGCAACCAAGATTGTCAGTTTATATTGCCGAAACAACAAGCAACTACAAAACTAATATTATATGAAGGTTAAGGACAGGAAAATTTTGTAATACGCATGGTGCTAATATAGTCAGAACCAGTAGATACACAAAAGAAGGAATACAGTAAAGTACAAAAAAAGTAAGCCAATGTTAATAATTTTAGATAGCTAAGTATGTTCAGAAGGTTGTTCATTATAGAGTACAAATACGAGAGAAATGAAAGAGCCAAAATTATATTATTAACAACAAAGCAAGTCACAGGTTTCGCGCTTAACATTGTCTCTGTCACTTAGAACACAGGCCAAATATGGTATCGTTGAGCTCCTATACTTGGTTGTACGAGCATATATTATTTTGTACTGATTTCTGGTTCTACTTGATGAGATGCAAGGACAGAGTTGGGAATAGAGTGGGTGTTGGGGGGGGTCGGAGAGTATGGTTTTAGACCATTTTTCGCATGTATTCAGATGCTTATCTACTAATGTAGTGACGAGCTGACTGAGTTTTATACCACTAGTCCTACTAACTACCTTCAACATCCTTCTCAGGATGGTATAGTCCTTTTTCAGTAGCCCAGGAAAGACTAATGGGGAGCAGCAAAGTAGAATAGGTAAGATACGACAGTTGAGAAATTGTGAAAGTAGAGATTGGGTGATTCCAGATGGTCTAACTTTCACAATGTTCTTAGTAGTGAGGTATTTACACTTCTATGTGTCTTTAATACTAACTTGTACAAGAGGTATGTAAAATTATTCGCGCGTATTTGATGAAAATATCATTCTATGACAGTTTATTCTACCACCCATGGATATGAATTCATGTGTCATTTTGAAGAATACCGGCAAACAGTCATTTGGTGATAAGAAATGAACTCTGAAACAAAATAAAAGCATTGGAATTTCTAATATTCAGTATTGCTTTTACGGGTTAGTGTAAACCAAATATTTCTGTTTAGGCTCACTTCTTGGTTGTAAGGTAAAAGTTCCTGATCGTTAGTAAACGTCAGTGTAGTTTTTCCCATACTTCTACTGCCGTCACTTCGATTGACTTCAAGGAAATTGCGTGGACACTAATTATATGTGGTTTGCAGTATGTAGCGTGTTAAGACCGTGCTGCTGCTGTGAATGAAGTTAGTCTTCTCATCTGTAAGTCGTTCGGTGTGGTCAAAAAGGGAGATAATAATAACATAACTAGCGGAGATTACGTAGACTTGAAAAGAAAAATGAACAGACAAACAGGTAGATAGATAATGAAATTTGATACATAAAGAGTAATTTAGTGATGAATAGGTAAAGTGGTCAGAAGAGTGAGACAAATTAGACTAGGCAGGTATAAAAGGTGAGTTTAGACGATACCCAATAATGGAGTGAGCTATATGAATTTCAAGGCAATAGTCCACTTGAACGCAGTCCTTGTGTTTCAGCACGATTATTCAGTCTCCTCTTACAGATCTCCACTGTAGGTGCAGTAGCCATGGCTGCTAGTAAACAGTTCCAGGGACAGCAAACTCTAAGCGAAAAAAGAGGAGCACACCAAATTTTTTGTTGTCTGATGTGCGGTCCTATGTGGTTTGTCACGATGATGTCCGTAATGACCTAATGGCAGAATATATTTGTTTGGATAATTTTGGTCACTCAATATGTTAGAAGCAGCAAACACGTCACCTTGAAGACAACGGTAGCTAAGTGTGGAGAGACCCAGTTTATTGCAGAAGCCTACAGTCCTTTTCGTTGCTTTTATGTGAACCCTTTAAAAAAGATTGGCGTTCCTTTTAAGTAATAAGGGAGCAGTGTTATTATGCACCTGAAAGTATGGTTGTAATTATGTTTTATACACTCTCAGTAAAAGTCCAGGAGTGAGAGCAACTAACTATTTGTGCCACCGTCACACCACCCAGGTAATTTAAACTTGTTTCTCGTCTTTCCCTTTATAAGTAGACGTAACTCACAGTGTGACATCTCACAGGATATGCTGTCGTCACACAGATAGTAAATTACTCTCTGCGTCATTTGGTTACGTATGCAATTTTGACTTCTAAAAAGCCTACACTGATGCTGTGAATATTTGAAGATCAAGTCTCTGTGGGAATATCATTACTCAGTACACTACTCGTAGTTCTGTCTGGTGTGCCTTAAATATAACCAAATGCATGTCTTCAAACTCTACTGGTGCCTGCCATCAAGCGAATGACAACAGACACCAGTATTTTTTATGTATTTTCTATTGTTTCTTATTTGAAAACCCGTTAAGTACCACTGTAGCAACAGAAGACAAGGGCCGGGCAACAGATCGTTTTATTACGAAAATCAGCACGTATTTATATAAATTTCACATACATTATTATAGCCTAGTCAAGTAGACAAACGCAGTCTTCTGATTGGTTGTTTTCGAGTTCCTCGGAAAGTGGAGCCATCTATCTGCGAATCATATTTGCCCACGTTTGCTGTGATTGGTTGTTGTTCACATTTTTTCACGGCCCATATTAGTGACCTAGACATTGACGTAGATTAATGTCAACCAACTGGCTAGCAGGCTGCTCTCACCACACCACTACCGCACTATACTGATGTGGTTCCTATTTTTTCCTTGGGTTCCGAGTATAACATGGGGCTTCAGCAACACATCTCCGCTTTGTTCTATTCTCTGCCGCCCTCTTCAGCTACGTCCACAATTGCCCATAATCTTTCATCTCCTCCTCGCCACACTCTCCTCCATGTCACCCTCTCACTGACGAACCCCTCGTCGTTTCCTATTCTCATTCCACTCGAGCAGTGTGTTGGGACACGATGTTACTAGGCGGCCTCATCAACGTATACCTGACCCATCTTCATTTTCTCCTACACATTTGTTGAGCAATCGATTCTTGATTTGTTCATTGCCAGCCAGAGTTTCTTGATGCTAATTCTTTCTGGTCGAATGGCCGTCTGATCTTCTGTATGTATCCATCAAAGGTAGCTGTTGGTAAAAGTCTGTAACTTTTTGGGAATCCCTTTTGTGACGCTTACTCCAGGTTGCGGACCCAATTCTGACTGAATTAACATTGATGTCGAAAATCTGAATCTTGTTCTTCATACTGAGGCGGAGTGCAGAAGATTTCCAAACTAGTTTCAGGTTGCCTTCCAGATTCTGGCTAGCTTTGACATCTTTATCAGTTTCAACTGCCTGTGGTCTAAACAATGCCTTCTAGATAAATGAAGGAAGTGAACTCTCTCAAATCTTTCCCGTTGATGATGACTGGTGGTGGTGGTGTTTTGTTGCTGCTGATTGGCTATCTTCATCACATTCTTCTACACCTTCTCTACGTTCACCTGCAGTCCCATCTTCGCTGTCAGCCAGTCTCTTCTGCCAGTTTGTTGGCCTTCACCTGCAAGTCTTTTAGTTCGTGTGACATTAGACATAAATCATTTGCGAGATTCAGATCTTCTAGAGTCTTATTATCAGTGATCCAGCTTATTCCTGTCTTCTCGATCCTGTCTGACGCATAATCCAGTCGTTGGTGATAATAGGCGGCCAGCTTATCTTACTCCTGTATTCACTTCAAAGACTTTGAAGTAAAGACATGGCCACTGCACACCGTAGTGTTAAAGTAGTTTCCAAATTACTTATCGATCAACGCTGTCTGTCGAAGACTTTTTCGAAGTTGAAGAAGTTGAGATATCATTCGACTGCCACTCAATGTTTTGTTCTGTGATGATGCTGATGATGATACGTAGAGCTGTAGTTTAATCAGCACATGATTTGCCTTTCATGAATCCAGGTTGTTCCGAGTGGCGGGGTTCTGTATCCAGTGAATCTTTTATTGTCTGTATGGTTATACGACTTATTCCTGTTCTATGACTAGGAACTGAATAATACAAAGTTAGCTAATTGTTACTACTTGTAAGTTATGAAAAAGAAAGATTTATTTTAATGCATTAAAAGAATTGTTCACTCAAGCAGTTTGTTCAATATTTCTATTCTATCTTTGTAGACAATGAAAGCAATGATTCAGTGTCAATTTAAAAATCATATAATTGTCTGTATCACAAAACAACCTAAAGGCATAAAACTAGGACTAGCTAGTTTTGTTCTTCCTTTAAGATCAACTTCTATACCAATTAAAGAAGTAAAACCAATTATTATTGTCTGTGAATCTAAAGTTATTGAAAAAGAATGGCGATCATTGAAAAATTTTCCAGGCATTTATGTTTTATCAGTGAGTTGACATTTTTAAGTCGTGTTTTTATTTCCTTTTTTTCTGTATTCTGTCCAACTATTCTTTTACTGTTCCATGCATCTGTCATCTAAGAATTTTAAATAGCAGTCTCTTTATATAATAGTCTTCATTTCAAAGTTCACTTTTAAAAATTCTTTTATTGATATAGATGGAATCAGTTTCTTTTGGTTATTTTAATTCATAAATTTTTATTCAATATCTAGAGTATCAAGTGACTTCACTTCATATTACATTCAACAGCTATCCATCTACACAACGGTTTTATTCCACTGCTTGGTTTGTAATATACGTTTTGAGGTAGAGTATATGATGCATCCATGTCTTAAGCAAAGTCGGATATAGTTGTCTACCCGGTGGCACAATGGTTAGGACTCTCGCCAACCATGTACATGGTCCGAGGTTCGATCTCCTGCCGACGCACACCTGATATCTATGGTCAGCCTGCAAAATTTCGGCTACCGATACCTATGCTGAAAATTCCATACTTGTACCAAAAATACAGTATGGAATTGAGCTGTAAATCAAAAATAAAAATAAAATAAATGCGTATAACACCTCTCTAGAACAGTCCTTCTAAAGTATTATTTCTATTCAAAGAAAATATTATGCTACCAACCATGGGAATACACTTACAACATCAATGAGGCTGAAAAATGTGTTTGAATAAAGCAAGAACAACAATGGTTGGCGCAGAATAATATGCTACCATCACTGTTTATTTCGTTGGCTTCTCATCAACTGCTTACAGTTTGCAAGCTTTTTCATAATATCAGTTAGTAGAAAGTTCCGCAATTAGTGAACCGTGCTCAGAAAATTCCGCTTATATAGTTTTTACACGAGCAGTTCAAGTTTAAACAAAAATAAATGAATGCATACAATGGTTAAGGAGTTACGTAATAAAGACGAGAGGTGCACAAGACACTGAGTGACTAATAAATTAGGTAACAATGTACTGAGTTCAGCCCAAATCATAGGAATACGAGACAAGCAGAATTACACTGTATCAAAGAGGTGACGTTAAAGTCAAAGATTACGTAATCAAATGAAAGTATAAATACACAAGTACTTTTAATTCCATTTTAGTTCATTTATGTGCGTCGGTGGCACAGTGGTTAGGACTCTCACCGACCATGCACATGGTCCGAGGTTCGAGCCCACGCCGACGCACACCTGATATCTATGGTCGGCCTGCGAAATTTGGGCTACCGATATCCATGCTGAAAATTTCATGCTTGTACCAAAAATACAGTGTGGAATCATGCTGTAATAAAAAATAAAAAAAATAAAAATATTATTTATATACCAAGAAAGACAAATTAGTATAGTACGGGATACTACCATCGTACCTAAATTATATTCTTTATTTATAGCATCGTTATTTCCAAGTAATTCTTGTCTATTTATGGACTGTGTTGTAACAACAGAAGACAATGGCCAGGAAACAGATTGTTTATTGAGGAAATCAACAGATATTTATAGATTTTTATGTACATTATTATTCATTGTTATTAGAACAGAATCAGCGTCTTCTGATTGGTTGTTTTATCACTGAAAGTTATTCGGTCATCCCTTTGTGGCTGTTTCATTGATGGTCACACCATATATCTGCGAACTGCATCCGCCCAGGCAAAATCAGCTGTTATTGGTTGTCGCGTTAGTCTTTGTTCTTGTCTTTATCTCATGATCAAGATTTGGGACGTAAACATCGACGTAAATCGCTGACTACCAATTTTATCTAGCAGACAGCTCTCACCACAATATCACCGAATCTTTAAAGTAGTCGTTTGTGAAGCCCCAGCTTAAGATCTAGTAAGGTGCAATGCTAAAAATTGCAGTGCAAATATATTTATTCTAAATACCTCCTTGAAATTAGATATTTTCTATCGTTAAAGTAAACTTTTCATTGTATACTGGACTGTCTTTAATCCATAGAAATTACTTCCGTGTTATTCCGACACATTAAAAGTTTGTAAGGTACTGGTAGTGCTATAGGTTAGCTATACTAACTATACCAGCACTCGTTAAACGTAGTTTGTCTCACTTAAAAATACTGACAACAAGACTCAAGTCAAGAAAACTGAGCTATTTAGTGCCGTGCTCAAATGGGCAGTTTATATTTGAATAAAATAAAAAGTTAAAAGTATTCAAGGAAAGGGATTTAGAACTTATCTAACTAGTACGTCTGAATTACAAACTCCGTGAATACGTGTGTGTTAACAGCACAACGGAAGAGAGTAAAAACGACTTTAGAACCAATTCATATATGTACACGTTAAAACAAAAACTTAAAACATTGGAAGGTGCACTACAAGTTGATAAACAGGTATGTGTAGATGCATTTAACCATGTCTTATCGCATTATTAAAGACAGTGTAGGTATTTTTTTTTGTTTTTGATTACACCTTGATTCCACACTGTATTTTTGGTACAAGTGTGGAATTTTCAGCATGGATATCGGTAGCCCGAAATTCGAAGGCCGACCATAGATATCAGGTGTGCGTCGGCGTGGGCTCGAACCTCGGACCATGAACATGGTCGGCGAGAGTCCTAACCACTGTGCCACCGACGCACGAAGGTAGGTAAAACCCAAATAATTTCATATTCCTAGAAGAGTTCGCGAGAGAAATACGCTTGCTGAGTAAAGACTGATAACTGATTTGTTCATTGCCAGCAGGGTTCTTCACATATTTTGGCGACAGCAGCTTGGCCACTGACTAAATGAATCACACCTGGAAAGTTTATACGGAATATTTTTATCTCCCTCTTTCTCTCTCATCTATTCTACAATCACTACTGTTTAATTTCGTTTTGATTATAATAATAATAATAATAAATTAATAATTTTTCCTTCACATTCCCGGTGGAACATAGAGCAGTGGTGATTATTTTTACAGGATGGGGTTGCTAGCCTCATGCCCAGCCTTTCCTCTTTACCAGCATTATTTCTGGCTTAGCCAGGTAAAGGAATGCGTCGGCCGGGGATCGCTGAGCATCCTAAGCCACCACAGAAACTATTTTTTTTCTTCACCAGTTATTATTATTGCTTTCTTGGATTTGCAGTGGAACATAAGGCTTCAACAGTACATCTCCATTTCATCCTTTTTTTTACCATCTTTTGCAACTGACTTTAACTGGCTTCACATTTGTCTATAAGCTTTCATCTCAACCATGTCAGCCTACAATGCCACACTCGTCGATTCAAATATGGGTTCTACTCGAGGACCTGACATGTGCCGTCACTCAACGATCAGCTCAGAGCAGAGTATGTTTAGTCCACTTCCCCATATCTGTTGGTTGAGCAATAAGTTTCTGGTTTATTCGTGGTCAGAGGTCCCACTGACTCATCTGTCCTTTCTGGTAATCTAATCTTCAGTGTGAATCGAAGGTGGATACTGATGAAAGCCTGCAGATTGTTAGAAATTATTTTGGTGATTAACCATGTCTCTAAATCATAAAGAAGCACTGACATGAAATTAGGGCTGAAGGTCAGGATACTGTTTGTTATGATAAGTGGAGCAGATTTCCACAATGATTTGAGAGTGATGAAGGTTTGCTCTGCCTTTTCAACTCTGGTTTTCACATACTCATGCATTTCGCCTGCAGAAGAAACAGTGCTGCTAGCTAAATTGAAATGATCTAACCATCCAGCTTGCCTCAGTCTAAACAACGGAATCAGCTTAAACTACCCCCATGAACCCGGCCTTAAGCCAGTAAAACGGCCCTCTGCTAATTATGTTACTTTGATCTAGTCAGCAAGCACTACTGATTGATGTGAGTAGTTTCCAACCACTTATTTCAGTCGGTGATAGATGCAACCACGATTTGTTGATTTCTGTTTACGGTATCAGCCAGATGGCATATTGTAACCTTTGTATTTTCGGTTTTTCAAAGGCAGCCTTTGATAAGTTTTCCCCTTGAACTGTGTAATTTGCAAAGTGGAAATTTTATGCTGTTAATAAGGAGAAACATGGTCACTTAAATCCATATTTCACGACCTTATTCTTCAGTCAAATTATATATATATATATATATATATATATATATATATGTTGTGATCCCTGTATGATGGATAGTCTACTTGCGAAGCTTTATTGTCCTTCTCAGTAACATCTTCGGCATTAACATCAATGTGAAGCCAGCTTTCAGGTATTCTACATGGATGAAATATTTTCTGAACACGCTGTCGAGAATTATAAATAAACTATTCAGCGCTCAGACCTTCATTAACAGCTGTCTCCGCTCAATACTCAAGATCAGATGGCCAGAAAAGATCAGCAACAGGGATCTCTGGGAGCGAACCAATCAGGAACCGATTGTGAAACAAATAGGCAGAAAGAAATGGAGATGGATTGGCTTGACGCTGAGGAAACCATCAAGTGACATCACTAGACAAGCCCTCGAGTGGAACCCGAAAGGGAGGCGGCGAGTTGGTCGTCCAAGGGTGACTTGGAGGAGGTCATGCGAGGAGGAGATGAAAGCATGTGGACAGACCTGGAGCAGGGTGAAAAAGTTGTCAGGAAACCGAAGTCAATGGAGGTGCGCAGCTGAAGCCCTATGTTCCTCTAGGAACTAAAGGATACAATAATAATAATAATTCAGCGCTCAGAGAACGAACAACACCAAAAACATACATATGAAATACACATCCTATCTACGATTTCATAAATACGGTATTACGTACATGTAAAGATAAAGCATTAACTCTTGTTTTGGTAAAGAAAAGAACAGAAGAATATTTATTATTATTATACTTGAAAAAAATATCAGTGAGGTCATAATTCGTGCTTATATTTTTTTTAACTTGAAAAAGGATGTTTATAATCCGTTTTCTTTTTGTTATATATGTATAACAAAACCATTTAGGGATCACCTTTGTATAGAGCTAATCTTCGAGCAGCTGGAGTTGAAACTTGTTCGACTTGTGTTGTACTCTCATGTTTACATGATACTTCTGGAAGACCATCATTAATGATTGATAAAGAAAGTATATTATGCACTTTAAATATTCGCCAGTTATTAGCTGAAGCCAATAAAACAAGTAGGTTTAGTGGGTTTTTTTAAATCAAAGCTTTTTTTATTTTCCACCTATGGTGACGTTTATAAATATTAAAAACAAAAATACCACACCGATTGATCACAGATAACAATTTATACTAAAATGAATCAACATAGTTTTTATACAATTCCTGTGAAAGTAACACTATGTCTGCAACTCTAACAGTGAGGAATTTGTATGTACTCTATTGATGTTTGCAGTAGAACCCGAAAACCACAAACAGAGTAGTCTATTAGTACTTATTATTATTTCCTTTAATTCCTTGAGGAACAAAAGGCTTCAGCCGCGCGTCCCCATTGTGTTCCGTTCTCTGCTAGAATTTTCACCTAGCTCTAAGTCTGCCCACATGCTTTCATCTCCTATTCACATGACCTCCTCCAAGTCACCCTTGCACTGACGACCAACTCGCCGCTTCCCTTTCGGGTTCCACTCGAGCAATGGCTTGTCTAGTGATGTCACCTGATGGTTTCCTCAGCGTATGGCCAATCCATCTTCATTTCCTACTAACACTTTAATATAAAGTGTTGGTTTTCAGTGATCTGAACAGTTACAGGTTTAACCACAAGCTGACACTAATTAGAGAACCAAGGAGTACTTCACAGATGTTTCTTCCTGGTTTAGGATTACTCAGCAGCATGTACCCACTAGGGTCAGAACCCAGGACCTTCTGGTTACAAGACGAGATCGCAGAAAATTCACCTACCGCGAATTGATCCAGTGGCGTATAAATTCGAACTTCTTCCAGTTCGCCATATATAGCACAAATGCCAGAGAATGTCACCAATGGTTTGTTGGACCCTGCTGCTCACGACTTTCCACTGTCTAATTATCCCTGGTTTTCCAGTGGTTCTCCAGCTGATGTCAGTTCATAATCAAACCCGTAAAATAAAGTGCACTAGTGAGTCAAGTTAACTAGCTGATTAGCTGTTCAAATTCTCTGGGTTGATTTCAGCCAACATTTTGAGAGCTTTAATTTACTTGTTAGGGGAGACTGTGGACTAACTCGTGTTTTTGATATGGTTGTGTTCTTTGAGCAGGATAGTTAATTTGCGAAACTTTCATTGCCCCCTACTAGGCAACGTCTTCAGTGCATACTTCAATTTGTGTATATCCAATACTACTATCAAGTATATTTTAATTGAATTTGAGATTTTCCCGTCAACTGATTGGAGCGAAGTGCTCGGTCTCAGGTTGACATGTGGGCTTATTGTGCAGATGCTTCGACGATGTCTGAGCATTTAATTAGAATTTAATTTGTGGATGGTGACTAGCAGTGGAATCCAGGACAGCATGCATTTCATCCTATTTTGGACTCGTCAGCTGGATGTATCTGCATTTCTCAGTGAGTGATGATGTTCCCACCGAAGCATCTGCACAAGAAGCCAACATGTCAACCTGAGACCGAGCGCTTCGATTCAATCAGTCGACGGGAAAATCTAAAATTCAATTAAAATTAAATGACCCGTTGCATAAGAGGTGACTCTCGGGGACCAAGTGGTCTAGTAGATAACGCTTTGGCGTTTGAAACTAAGGGCACTGGGTTCGAGCCTCGGTGGGAACCTCATCACTCACTGAGAAATGCAGATACATCCAGCTGACGAGTCCAAAATAGGACGAAATGCGCATCCTGGATTTCACTGCTAGTCACCATCCACAAATTAAATTCTATCAGGTACTTTTAACAAACAGTAAAAATGGTCTGAAGTTACAATAGTATTTTTTTAAATAATTCACTTATTTCATAGGTATTTCTGAATTCTTCATAATTTGTTCATTTATGCCTGTAACCACGTTTTTGGTATTTTTTCAATATAAGTAGTCTTTTCTAATATTATTCAGTACTTTATTGCTAAGAAAATGAAGTTAGTCAAAGTAGATTTTTTTGATAGTCACAAATAGAATAGAATAGCCAATTGTGAATTAAATATGTCAAATAAGTTTCATGCAATTTAAGTTTACCAGTTTCTTTTTATCCGAAAATTAAACTTCACCTCTTTTTCCTTTATGCTTAATGTAACGCCTCCACTTAAATTGTGCACAACACTTTTTAACCAGGCGTTAGCTGACTTAAGGCTAAGAATTCAGTGCCAATTAACACCTGGCACATAGTTATTTGTGATACGACAGTAGGGTACAGCAGGTCGAAGCTGAGGACAGTTACTCGTCGAAGAAGACATTGCGAAGTGGTCGCAATATGCTGGGAATTGGCAGAAGTTATAATTCCTTGAGCTGGCCATTGGATCGAGTCCCAGTGGATCAATGGTCTACGAGCTAGCTTGCCTTATAACCAGAAAGTCCTAGGTTCGACCCCTCGGGGGCGGGTGCGTACTGTGAAGAGTCCCAAACTAGGACGGACGAAACAGCTGTCCAGTACTCCCTGTTGGTTTTCCAATGGTTCTCTAACTGATGTCAGCTCATAATGAAGTCCTCAATCCAATCAAATAAATTCCTAAAAAACCAATCCTTGATACAACATAGTTAATTAAAATACTTGCAGATATCTGAAGACATCTGAATTAGAATGACAACCACTACGTAGCTGTGTTTAGCAGCCAACTGTTCTATGTATAGACAGTTGTTTGAATAGATCTCATAAATCTCATTCTTCAGCATGCAACTCAATTCGTAGTTTATCATCTATTATGGAGAAACTGTTCATCAAAACTATCGATTCTTGAGGTAAACTTCAGATCAACATTAAATCGTAGTTTGAACCAAGAGATTTTATGAATTCATAAACTACTTTCAGTACAATGGATGGAATTTTTAGTGTAAACGTTATCAAATATCTGTACTGCGCAGAACAAAATCTCAGTCCGTTAATACTTAGAGACGAGTGTTATTACTGTTAGGAATTTAGAGAAATATTTTTGCTGACATAGAACAAATATTGGTGCACCAATATTTATTCTCTCTGCTCAAATTTATAAAAGACAATTCGCGTATGAAGTATTTATGCTATACACTGAATTCTAGTAAACACATAAAGACCATCAAGGGAAGAGTTATTTGACACCGCATCAAAAGTATACCTTTGAGCACCCTCAATCATTTCACCTAGATACTTATTTGCAGCTGCAGTAACAAGATGCAACTCAACATACCACGTAAAGTTTTTCTGGAAATATGTGATCAAGGCGATCTGAGCATTTCATTGCCTATATAAATGGAGTGAATATTAGAAGCTATTCGCTCTATATATATTTGTAAGTCTACAGTAAACGTCATATTAAATCCGTGAATAATTCTGATTTTAACTGTATATCAGGTATTCTAAGATGTCAAGAGTACTGTGTGTGCATAAAGATTTATTCTTATAAATTAATCTGGTCTTGTTTTGTTTTGCGTTTTTGAAAATTAATTTTAGATAATACTGAACGAAATCAACCTATGCTTGTCAGTGAACTTTGTAAGTTTATAGAAATATCATGAACACTAGTCAGTTTCACTTCATTCCTTCATATTATGTCATTTAATCAGAATACAAATGTCTGTAAAACTAAGTTTCAGTAATTGTTAAATAATTTTGAGTGAAAAGATCAGAGAATCACGAACTCATTACACTGAGATTTCTCATCAGTATAAAGTAGAAATCCAATATACCAACTCCAGTGTGCATCGGTGGGCAGCGGTATAATACTCGCCAACCACGCCTCTTGTGAACCAGCGTTCGGTTCTTGGTCGACGTACTTCTTTACCTTGCTAAGCCAGTAATAAGACTCGTAAGGAGGAAAGGCTGGGCATGGGGCTAGCAACACCATCCTGTAAAAATGAACACCAATGCTACCGAAACTTCAAGCCTCTAGTTTGAAGCTCTATGTTCCACTAGGAACGGGAAGGAATAAAAAGACTCTACAGTTAACATTAAACATTGTATCCACGACGCAAACTGCTGATACCTATCAATAGTTGAGGACCAGTAGGCCTTATTAAACTGACTGTGCTAAATCGAGAATGAGACAAACATTTGGCTTGTTTGAGACCAGCTTGAATCATCTCAAAGGATGAACTAAATTCAAACTGTCATTTATACTATAAAACAGGTCCCATAATGTGATCGAAATAATTAAATTTTCTAGAGGAAACCATGGTTAGGTTCTACTTCAGACTGTAGAAGTTAAAATAATTAATTTCATGACAAACATAAACAAGAGCGACCGCGGAGAGAGGACTCACTAATGACCTTGAACGACTTCCATTCATTGGTTTGCAGAACCTTCCGTAAATTAAACATCAGAAAACCGTTTATTTACGTGAAAAATTAACTAAATGATAATGAAACACATTGAAGATGATTTTTTACCTTGATGTAACTGAAAAAAATACTTCCCAACAACAATCAAGGATATCAGTTTTCAGGTTTCACAGGTGTCATAACAGTTTCATCTAAATGAAAAATGAAACACTCCTCATATTTACTTATTTACAAGAAAAATACACATAATAATGATGGTAATAATAAAACACCCTAACCCTAATCCTAACCACAAGCCTAACAGTAATGTGCTATCAAGCCCATTATTCAAACAGTACTTGAAAACGATATCATGATAAAGTTTGCACATCAGTTTGTGCACAGAGTTCATACTGGCTCTGTAATAACTCCATGTCCTGTAATCCAATGAATGGTAGACATTCAAAGTCATTGGTGCATTTGCCCTTCGTGTTCACTATCGTTTAGGTTGGCCAATTTCATCATGTACTGCTAGTTTTTTCCGATTGACAAGCTAGAATTCAGGTGATATAAACTAACTCACTTCTGTAAACTAAAATTACCTTGAGTGTCCCGCTGATGTTATTGAAACAAAATAGCAAGACAGTTGTCAGGTATTTAGATAATATTGAAATGGCTGATGAGTAACACTGTTTGGTTGTATTGGTGGTTTCCAGCCATTGATATCAGTACGGAGTATGTAAATCATAACATCTCACCACACTTGCTCAATATTACTTATGTTGTCAAGTGGGCCACCTATTCCAATCTGAATATTGTTTAGTTTTAAAATGAAATTGCCTTGAAATCGCACTTCGAACTCTGTACTTGGCCAGTAAACAATTACAACAAAGATTTTATTTTGTTGTTTTTTTGATTAAGACCTCAGTTATCAACAGAAACAATCTCAGTCAACTAGTTATACCATATAACTATTGGTAAGGGTTGATACTGGAAGAGTGAGGCCAAATTACATTGACAAAAACGGATAATACTGAACGGCTTAGTCATTTAATACCAGAGTTGTGTTGTAGATATTCACAACTCATCAGTAATATCCTCCTTTAGGCGAATGAATGGTTTTCAACTAGTCACCTATAGCAGGCAGAAATATATATATATATATATATATATATATATATATCATAGCAGTAGGACTTAGGCACTCCTTGTTGGCTTGCTCGTTAAGTATATTACATGATATTGCTTACCAAATTACCCAGTATATGGGATTGTTGAACTGAGTAATATACCTAACAAACAAACTAACATATAAACTAAATTAGTAGTGACTAGTGAAGTGCTTTTAATGAAGGCAGTTACACTCTCAAGGATAAGACAATCTAGATCTTACCCAAGCTTGCATTTTACTCTTTCACCAGTAATCATGAATCTATCCCAACTTTTTTTAATATTGTGATATTTTATTTCCATTAACGAAAGTGAATGTTCTATAGACCTGTGTTCTTTGTAAAATTGCAACAACAGAAGACAGGGCCAGGCAACAGATTGTTTATTGAGAAAATCAAGAGGTGTTTATAGATCTTTAAGTGCTTTATTATTAGCGTTATTGTTAGCAGAGAAGCAACATCTCATTGGTTCTATTCTGGCTGAAGGTTGTTCTGTTATCTCTTTGTGGCCGTTTCTCAGAAAGTCAAGCCATATATCTGCGAATCATATTTTCACACTTTAACTCCTCTGTGATTGACTGGTGATTTTCTCAAGGTTAAGCTTTGTTATTGTTTTTTTCAAATGACCCTGATTCGCGACGTAAACATTGACGTAAATTGTTGTCTCCAATTTCGGCCTGCGGCCAGCTCTTACCAAAAAATGAATATTAGCTGTTCTACTAGTAAAGATTAAGGTACTGGCAGGCAGATTTCTCCTTACATTAACTGAGTCCATCCTATCTCAATCAACCCATGATATGAGTGTAATATATTCCAAATAAAATGCCAATATTGAATCTGTGAACCGTATATAAACTCTTATTGCATGATACCGAGTATATTTAGAAAAATATTCAACTTGTTTTTTTACATTAGAGCCGTACAATTAAGACTTTTCTTCTCCCTATTTCAGACGACCTACACAATGCAAGTCTTTTATCAACTGCTTCAAAGAATGGATCTACCTACTTCAGCCCATTAATTGCTTCAGGAAATATTGTGGAGTCAGATGTCCTGCATAGTCTTTCATCTAATGTATGTTGAATTGTTTTTTTTTAAAAAGGATGAGGTATTCTGATGTTTTTCGAAACCTAATATTTACTATAATGACAGTGTTTTATCGAATTTGGTTTTCAATTTCGATATCCATAATTCAAGTTTGAAACATCTCCTTTAGGTTTAACAATATTGTGATGACAGAAGACCAGGGCAAGGTAACAGAACGTTTATTGAGGAAATCAACAGATATTTATAGATTTTTATGTACATTATTATAGATTATTATTAGCAGGGAAACAGCGTCTTCTGATTGGTTGTTCTCTCTTTATGGCCGTTTATTTGAAGGTCAGACCATATATGCGAATTGCATCCTCCCACGCAAAGTCTTCTGTTATTGGTTGTTGCGTTAATCTTTGTTCTTGTCTTTATCTCGTGATCAAGATTTGGACGTAAACATTGACGTAAATTGCTGTCTAGCAATTCTGGTTAGCAGACAGCTGTCACCACAATATTACGGAGTTAATATTCAGAGGAAGTCAACATTCAACGCTGACAGATTGGAATATAGTCGAACAGTTATAAAAGAAAGAATTCGTAGAAAAAAACAAAATTCATCTCTGAAGGCTTCATTAATTCCACTTCCAGTATATCTATTTTTGTTCTAAATTTTTTTAAAAAGAAAACTGTTTTTTACTCAGCTTATTTGTCAAAAGGTTTAAGTTATAACAAATATGTCGACGGCACATTCATAGTAATATGACACTCCTTCAGAGATGAGATTGAAATCTCAATCGGTGATACTGCCCCCTCAATATTTTGTTGAGAACAAAAGATGATATAACACCTAAAAGATTTATTTACCTTGAAACCTATACGGAATAAATAAATAATCCGTCTTCCCAGCTGGGTTCATGCTATTAAAAGAAAAAACAAATAAATTTCATTCTTTTTTCAATAAACCTAACAAATCCGCATATCTTACAACTTACAGCATATGTAGAATTTTCTTAGGTAAATGTTTTACAAAAAATAATTAACTAGAAAAATTTATTTTAAAAGTCTTAGTCCCAGAGGTAATTTCTAGACACCTGATCATGTAAATAAAAAGATATTGTTCTAAAATTCAGCAAAGATAGGATATTTGGGACTTTGAAAGGGATATTTATCAAAGCTTTTAAAAAGAACGCAACATGCTGAGGATACAGCAACTGAAAATGCGAAATTATTTTGGGAAACGAACTTCAGTCAACAACGAGAAATATTGCCCAATATTGAATCTTGAATTTAACTCGGCAAAGTCCAACAATAGCGTCGCAGGAGTGCGAACGCACGATTGACCTTCAGTTGCCCAGTCATAAAAATGAGGAATGTTTGCTCAAAACATGATGTATATTGACAAGAAAATGCTTGAAAACTCATTAAACAGGTTATGTTTCTCTGACATGGCTTAAAAATACGTCCTAGTTATAACGAGGAGTATCAGTTGCCAAGTTAGATTAGTTTCTGTACATGTATTCACCAAGATGACTACAGATTAACTGTTTTTGTGAATCGTTTATCTCTCTCATCTTGCTCGCAGTCTTCCAAAAGAGCCCTCGGTTGAATTGTTATAGTTTCCAGCAAGAGGATAGACGACTACTTAACAGGAAAACGTGGATATTAAAACAAATTAAAATAAATGACATCAACTACAAATCTATCCCTAATCATAATCACAAATTTAATCCTGACCCTAACACTAACCCTAACCTTAATCATAACCCTTATGCAAACCGTAATTCTAACCCTAATGCTAATTAGAACCCTGATCCTAACCCTAACCCCAATGATTACCTTAACCCTAATACTAACGCTTACGAGCTATTAACACATTGTCCAAAGGGGACTTAAAAACGTGATCTGGATGAAATTTGTTCCTAAGTTGGTGAGTAGCGTTGATATTTCAGCTATGATAATGACAGATGCCACTAGCCAACGACTGGCATGCATTCAAGGTCATTGGAGAGTGCACACTCCTGGGACGCTATTGTTGAACTTTGCCTTTAACTCTTCATAATAAACATCCAAAACCGACAAAACAAAAAACATTTATTTAACAATCAGTGTTTTTCTGGTGTTTATTCAGACAGATTCTAGAATAGTACAGTGGACATATAGTTACACTTGGTTCCAGTAAAAAGAGTGAATACCTTGCCAGGATAATAATAATAATGATAATATAGTGCATAATCGTATAGCGTGACGCTTCAGTTACAAAATCCTGTGAAAGATTAGAAGGCATACTTTTCAGTGGGTGACCAACACTACTGAAGGTAATTACTGATAAAAGTATAATAATAATCAGGCATATTCAAGTGTTGGTTTGCAGGAATTAGATTGGTTTCAGGGATTCATCGTGAAATGACATCGGTTAGAGAAACAGTGGAAAACTTAGGACTACTCTACTGCTGTTTCATCCTAGTTTGGGCCTCTTCATCAGTACTCTGAATGACAATACTCCTATTTACTGATAATGTTGTCTACACCAGAATAGGTAACAAGTGATACACAATGAAGGTTAGAAGATATCTCGGTATAAAAAAAGCAGCTGGAAATTCAGCTTCATCATTGCGAAGTTGCATTATTTTATACAACAGAATTCTCAAACATTACAATGAACTGCAAATTTTGTACTAACTGAATTTTTCACATGTGACATTTCGACATTTAGGAAAAAGAATAATCTTAAATCACCGAAAATCATGTAGAGAAACAATAAAATAATGAAACTTGTTCGTAGTTGAATTTTTTACAATCCCAGTAAAAAAGCAAGTTCAGTTTCACGGATTCGAATGTGACATCTTGCCTTGGAGAGAAAAAAAAACACCACCTTTGTTAACCAGTAGGATTTGAAAAGTTATCTGGGTTCAGATTGAGTTCTGGTTAGCATATGTCTTGTGAATCAATCACAGATAACAGTGATTCGATCTGTGACTTAAACACTTTCAACGCATATGACTACTGTAGAACTCAAAATGTCACTCATGCATTTTCAACAAGACAAGTAAAAAATGCGGTTTAGGAATTCCATATTAGTTTGTTTATTAGATGTATCACATAGTGAAACAGTATTATTTACTGGATGACGAGGTTTTGAACAAAATTTATTGCGGTTCATAATCATATCTATTTTAATCACACGACTTTAAAACTTGTGTTTTATAGTTTTCTTTGTCATCTCCTATTTGTCGTAGGGGTAGTAGAATTTTCCAGATATCTGGGACAAGTGTTGATCGAATCAACTGCAAATACATGTAATGGGAATGATTCAACACCTGTCCCAGATATCTGGAAAATTCTACTACCCCAACGACGACAAATAGGAAGTGACAAAGAAAACTATAAAACACAAGTTTTAAAGTCGTGTGATTACAATAGATATGATTATGAACCGCAATAAATTTTGTTCAAAGCCTCGTCATCCAGTAAATAATACTGTTTCACTGTGTGATACATCTAATAAACAAATTAATATGGTTTAGGAAGTCAACCAACGTTCCACTTCGAATATAAATTCTCAGAGTTAAATAATTATTTCACTTTTGACATCGGAGTGATATCAGTTAGAGAACCACTGGAAGATCAGGACCCACTGGAATGCTGTTGAGTCCTAGTTTGGGACTCATTGGTAGTACGCACTCACTCGGACTCGTACCCAAGACCTTCCAGTCACAAAGCAACCTCCTAAGCCATTCAGCCATTGGGATTTGACTCACTGGCAAGCCAATGACTTTTAACTTCTACCAGTTAGTGTCTTTAGGAAGCACTGCTGACGAGTCCCTAACTAGGATTGAACAGCTGTCCAATAATTCCCTGTTTTCATTTATTCTCTAAATGATATCAATCTGTGGTCAAACCTAAAACAAAAAAATCAAATTCCTACAAACGAACTCTTGAAAAATTATTGATTTTTTCTTTGTTTTGTATTTCATGCTCAGGTGCTATTCGATCCAACTGTTATAACATTTATTGAAACAATATTAGGCGGTGGACCAGGCCATGAAGTAGAAAAAGTATTCGCTATTGACAGTGGTTTCTTTCCAGGACTAAGAGGTCAGCCTATCAGCACATTAATGTTTCCAGATTATCTAACTGGGAATATACCCTATGAAGTTAATAATGCCAGACATACAAATAATCAAGTTTATTCAAAAGATACACAGAACACTGTAACAACTACTATTGGATCTGATTTTGACTCAGTAACTACTGAACAGTTTAAAATATTTTTTAAAGATAATAATTTATTGAAAAAATTATTTCAATTTGATCCTGAGTTGAAATCACACGAGTTGAATGATAATTGTATGGAAAGTAGTAGAAGTACAACTGGTGAGATTTTCAGTGATACAGACAATACAAAGGAGAAGATAAGCACAGATAATGAACAAATCAATTTCAAAAGTTTTTTAAGTTATAAAACTGAAACAGGTTAGTGATGAAATACTGTGAATTACAAATTTTACTATATAAATCTATTGACACTGATTGACTAGTTGGAATGAAGAAGCCCAGGGGGTTGATGAACTTTTTAAAAGGATATCTTGATAGATAGGAGAAACTATAGCCCGCAGTATGAATTCATCGTAAGACGATACTATATAGAATAGGGATAGTTTAAATTATAGGGGAAATATTTGCCCCATGGTATATACTACTGGCTTATTTGAGTAGTTGGAAATCACTGATGTCAGCCAGTAGTTCCTACAAGCTAGATTGACGTTTTCAAAACGCCAAATGACTGTTTCTGTTGTTTGTGACTGAATTTATCAGAAGTACACCTAGAATAAATCAGTTCAGAGATCAGAACGACTTCAGACCATCTGAATTATGGCCAGTTACTTGGTCACACTGTGGTGCGTCGGTGGCATAGCGGTAGTACTCACCAACCACGCCACATATGGTTCGGGTTCGATCCCCGGTAGACGCACTACTTCACCTAGCTAAGCCAGTAATAAGACCGGTAAAGAGGGAAGGTTGGGCATGAGGCTAGAAGCTCCATCCTATAATAATGAACAGCACTGCTACCGAAACTTTGAGCCTCTAGGCATGTAAATTCTCCTAAGGTGTGTGCCAATTAAATACAAGTATTAGTTGTATATTCTTAGGTTGTCAGATGTAGTTACTACTTTATTAACGGAGTAATGGCACTACGTGGGTCTGTCGCTCATTGGTAAAGGCACCAGATATTCAAAGAGGCTTTTATACAGTTTCAAAACACCCGTAATAAACAATATACTTCATATTGTAAGCTAAAAATAACTGATCTCTTATCAACTTGACATCTGAATAATGCTAGCAGTCTACCTGAAGAGACTAAAGGATGCTTTGGATGTAGAACTCTCCCCGGAACAAGCTAAATTCAAGAAAAGTAAATCATGTGCAGACCAAATTGCAAAACGCCACCCATCATCATCGAATGGAACATATAATGACAGTCAACTATCTACCTCAAACTTCATCGATTTTGAAAGGCCTTCGACAGAGCTGGTCACGAAGTATTTGGATACTGCTTCAACACTATGGAACCCCCCCTCCAAAAAAAAACGCTTATCAACCTCACTCAACAGCTATATGATTAATGTCTCATACCAAGGGATTCATAGTGGAAAACACAACTAAGCATTTGAAGTGAATACAAGGTCGCCTACAATCATCGATGAAATTTCTGACAGTGAGGGACTAGATCATGCAACGGATCGTAGGGAGCAAGAAGGCTGAAACACTGAACTGATAAAAAGACTCCATCAGATCAGGACATCATGGATGACTTATGTCTGATGTCACATAAACTCGAAGATTCAAAGGCGAAAACCAACAAGTTGGAAGAGTAGGTGAGTAGAGAAGGTAGGACTTCAACTGAACATACAGAAGACAGATGTGATGAAGATACCCATCGATCAACAACAACAACAACAAGCGCCAATGACTATTAATGGGGGGAAATTTGAAGACAGACACTCATTGTTCTGAAATCAGTTTGGAAATCCTCCGCACTCAGCATAAAGAACAAGATTTGGGTTGTCAACATTAATGTCAAGTTAGTCAGTGTTTCTATATGGTTCAGAAAGTTGGTGCGAGCGTCACCGAAAGCATTTCCAACAGGCCACTGCAGACTTTTATCAACAGCTGTGTTCGTTCCATACTGAGGATCAGGTGGGCAGAAGGGATTAGCAACAAGCAAGTCTGACAACCAACCAATCAAGAACCTGTTAGCTTAAAATATGGAGAGAGAAATGTAGGTAGACTGGACACACACAGAGGAAACCGTTGAGTGACATCGCACTCCAAGCCCTCGAGTGGAATCTGAATGTAAGACGATGAGTGCAGCGCAAGTCTAAGGGTGATATGCAGATCGTGTGGGGATGAAGGGTTATGGGTAATCTTGGAGCCAGCTAAAGAAGACTACGGAGAACAGAGGGAAATGGCAATGTGTTGCTGAAGCCCTATGTTCCACCTGGAACCCAAGGGGATGATAATAATATCGCTTAAAATATATTCTAGAACTTTGCACACTATACAACTCGAAACTAGACAGTACTAAGGGTAACTAACTTATCTGATTTCAGGAGACATAATGCATATGATTGTTTCTGCATCAGTAATCCCAGTCAGAATCATCAATATCTCGAACGTCATCCCACTTTATATGTATAACAACTGACCCTTCTATGCTATATGTAGCACTGTTGTTGCGAAGTATTCTAACAGTTTCCGGGATCTCAGGAACTATATAAAATCAGAATATCTCCAGGTATTGGTTCTTGTAGGGATTTTGTTTGACTGGACGGATGATTTCATCATGAGCTGACGTCAGCTAGAGAACTGTTGAAAAACCCGCAGGGAGTATTGGATAGCTGTTTCGTCAGCCTAGTTTGGGACTGTTCATCAGTATGCACCCGCCTTGGGGGTTCGAACCCAGGACCTTCTGGTTACAGTGAGGACTATCTGATAGACCATTGAGCCACCGGGACCCGATCCAATGGCCAGCCCAAGGAATTCTAACTTCTGTCAATTCACGACATAGCGTATTGCTGAAGAGTCCCAAACTAGGCTGACGAAACAGTCGGCTGCCTAGTACTTCCTGTTGGTTTTCCAATAGTTCTCTAACTGATGTCAGCTCATGATGAAATCCTCTATCGGAATATTTGTTCACCTTATTGAAAAGTGGTTTTCATATAATTTGTAAAATGACTACTGTTTCAAAACAAAGTTCAAAGATTTTGTTTCATTTTTACAGGAGATGAAGTTACAGTTCGTTTATCTCAACTTCTATTAGTCCCACTTGAAGAGCTGAATAGCGATCTTTATCAATTGGCATCACAGGTAAGAAATGTACATTCGATTGCATTTAGCATTAGTATGATTTTCAAGCATACGCTAAAACTCAGTAACTTGATTTGTTTTACGGCGTAATGACCCTCTTTCATAGTAATAATAAATACTTGAATCAACACAGTACCTACAAAATGTGACTAATCGCAGATGGAAACTATGAATCTCAGAGCTAGTAGTTGAACACAACCAAATAGCTGCAATTACAACCTAAATGCTAAAATAACTCAACAATCTATTCATATTACGGCTTGCTCTTTAAGCCTGTAGTAAATTAGAAAGTTTAATGCGAATGTAGTTCTGTTCGTTAACAACATGTGTTAATATATTACATAGTTGGAGGCGACCGGCCACAGGAAGCCTTGGACCTAGGTTTCGTGCTAGCTGGCACTCACCAGTCAGCAAGGCGTATCTGCAACCTTGTAGGAACTCATGTTCCTTCTGAGATTCGAACCCACGTCACCCAGTGCTGTACGACACCTAGGTCCAAGACTTCCTGTGACCGATTGCCTCCAACCATCTAATATATCATCAAATCAGTGTGCACCATGATGGCGAGCTACCTAGAATGGTGGCCACATTGCAAACCGGACTGACAGAATTCAATCTTCACCAAAGAAAGGACTAGATACGTCACACTAGTTACTTGTGTCCAATCAAAATACATGCGTTAATGTTCTATGTAAGTGATCAGGATGTACTCTACTACATACGAGTTTATAAATAAGGTAAACGCTAGAATTTTAAACTTGACAACTAGTATCCTAGATTGAGCTATTACAGAAGCACCCTTTAGCTCACTTTATATAGAGTAAAAAGATGAGTATAGGTTTTACTAGACTTTAAGGAAGTTTGTTGGTGTAGCGTCAGATATTATCGAACCAAGTGGTATAATTGGTTCTTGTTTCTTTTCTAAACAGAGAGTCTTAACATTCAATGAACTGTTTCATACTGTGTTGGTGAATACTGGAACCATAACAGTTGGTCTATATCGTCGCGTGGAAGACAGTAAGAATACAAGAGAAGATATATCCTATGAAAATGCACATGAAGTCAGTGCAAGCATTGAACGATTTGTTTACACACTACCAGAGCCTAAAACAATAATATATCCTAATGATATGGTGAGTAATACTTTAAAATGTCATTTGTAATCTGTTCAAAAATGATTCGACATTATCGGCTGACTATATGAACTTGAAAACGATAGATACACATTTCTACTGTTCTACAAGTGTCGTAACTACAAGCACATCTCAGGTGGCATGCAGCACATGTTGTAGACAAACAGATCAACATAAAGATTTCTATAAGTCGAAATCAATTCAAGTTGTCACACTCCACGAAAGCGCACAGACAATCAAAATATGAGAATAAATATACATTAGTGATGACTCTAATTTTACAGAGGATGGATAACTTCAATTGTTCGATTTCCGTCACGAATCAATATCGGTTAGAGAGATCAATGAAAACCGAAGAGTACTGGGCACCCATTTCGCCCCATTTTGGGACTCTTCATCACTGCCTGCCCACGACAAGAGAGGGCGGATCCAACCCAGGACTTTCAAGTTGCGAGATAAAGCTCGTTGACCATTCAATCACTTTTGGTGGGATTTAGTGACCCCTGAATTCGGATTTTATCAATCCATGGTATAGTGATTTTCTCACCAATACCTTTGACGAGCATACAGTCACCTTGACATGATGAACACTACTACTGGTCATGACTTCCCACTGAAGCTTCAGGAAATCAATCCGGTAGCCATCAGTAAGCTGGTGAGTGATACTCGAACTATCTGTCTGTCTGGATTCAACATAGAACGTGGCACCGAAGTGCAGCACTTCGAGTTGCCACGTTCCAAATAGCACACAGAAGTAGGCAAGAAGATGAGTGAAGAGAATCAATACAGTCTGACAAGTATAAGAGTGAAACAGAATGGGTAATGGTAGAAAGGAATATGAAAGATTACAGAGACTGAATACATCTGCACCACTGACAACGATTTTCAGCCATGTCACCTATTGTCTCCAGCCATTGATTCTTAGAGTCCCGAGGGCCCCAACCCAGAAGTCTGCATCTCCCTACCTGACTCAGTTTAACCGTCAAGGATTTCGTGGATTGATGCCATGTTTTTGTTTGGCCACCACTTACTCTTTTCCAACTTGCACTCAAACTATAGGACGACAGGTCATCAATCTATCTGTACCACTGTTACTGATACTGAACCATATCGCGAACTACTTGTTCCCTAAATCTCAAGGATCTCAGATCCCTTTACACCACTCAACTCAACAACTATGTACTAGTTCGAATAAGCTTACTTCCTTTTAGATTAATATTACTGCAACTATCATTCCTTGAAATGTAAAATCAATCATAGGCACCTCGGTATATGCTCACAATCTTACTCTGTATCAGCACCTTCACACATCAGTGCTGTTACAAGGACAATCTACCATCGAAAACCTGTAACGTACTTATGCCATCCACCATTAATATAAGCTAGTCGTGAGTTGTTTCCAGTTGTGCTTAAGCAGTAGTTAGCTTTCACTAAAAAAATACCAGTTCACGGGATTTATACTTTAAAGAATTTCACCAGGATAAAAGTGTGGAGTGACAGCTTAGTTTTGTTCTCGCTAACAAGTACTCCATTCGCAGTAGCTTAGTATGTAGAAAGCAAGAGAACATTCATGTAGTATAGTAATAGCAATAATACTACAGGCTGCTGCTCCATCTTGCAAATGGTAAAAGATCCCATGGTGCACATCTAAAATCCTGCTAAATATACATAATTTAAAGGATACTTCGAACTGTCACTGCATGATCCAATTATAGTTCTAGAGAAGTGCTGGGTGTATGACTATAAACACAGTAAATTACATACACTCGATTATCGGTACACATTATGTAATGATTATTCACTTGTCCTACTTGAGTCCGTTTGTATACATCGAACATGGTCTTCAATAACTTCATTCAAAGCAATAGCACTACCCTGATTGATGCATTACGATATTTAGATGCAAATTCACTTAAATATCTTGATCGAATTAATTTAACTTTGTTTACAGGTCTATTGCCTTACAGCTATGACAGAAAATCCAATGACAGAACAACAAATATTATAACACACAAATAAGGAGCTAGAAATCTTTCATTCTTTCCTCAATCGAAACTAGATAATCACACACTGTGTCTTCTCTCATATTGTCTACTTTGTATGCCATTTTACAATTAAAAAGGTGTTTTTTAATGTATAACAAATACAACATATTGTACACAATTGATATTGTTATTTTTATATCAACAAAACAAGTGAAGAAAGAAAGAGTGGAAGCGTGAAAACCGGATGTCTTGATTGTTAGGTTGTTTTAGTCTTTGCCAACTTTAGAAATTCACCTCTCAATTTGTCTGCTTGCACTAGAAATTCCTAGAAAGCAATTAAGAAAAAAGTATTAGGTTATAGAAGCCAGATATAGAAGCCAAAAATTAACTACCAGTTTATAGAGCCAAAATAGTAGAAATACATGCTTTTGAAAACCTCTATGTAACTGTGATTAGATAATTATCGTATACAGTGAAAAAAAGAGCGACAAATAATGAAAACCCTACCACCCTGAAGAGCTGGATAAAAAGGGAAGAGTTTGGCGTTATTGAAAAATACTAGACGAATAAATAATACAATAGTTGTATAGAATAAGAAATACACCGTGCGGTAGGTTAAACCACACAAGTGGTCCGAAGTTCGACTCCCGGTCAACGCACTCCTTTACCTTGCCTAAACAGTAGTAAGACTGATGAAAAAGGAAGGTTAGGTGTGAGTCTAGATACCATACACCATAAAAGAGCACCAGCGTTACTGAAACCCTAAAGTTTAAGCTTTAAGCCCTATCGTGGAGATTGCTGCTGATGAGATTTATCAGTAGTATATAAAGAGACGTTCATCGGCATAAAAACATCAAATAGCAGGGAGATACATTTGATTTCAGCGAAGGCGAATGATACAGTGTTGTGGAGATACATGGGAGACGTGAAACGAACACAAAGAAACACAACACGAAGTTCAGAAGTACCACAACACGAAGATCTGTGTAAATGGTGCGTTGACTATAAGGTATACATAATTTGACTGCACAGAGATACCAATTTCCAAACAAAGGTTCATTTACCAAGTCTTTGTTTTCTACCGTTTCACTACGTCCCACTCGGAACGCAAAGCAGGGAGAGATGGAGCACACGAGGCAATAGAACAATACAATGATGGAAATAAATAGTAGTCCAGTTAGCGAATAAAATGATATTTCACCTGCCCCCAGATATTAGTACACAAAAATATTTAACATACCTGAGAAGTGTTTAGACTTACATAAGTTAGTGTGAAAAATAGTTTACAGTTACTGGGCTTTTCATAGATTTAATCATAAGTTTAAGTAACCCCAACAATATGATAAGACCAATTCACTTTTGCACAAAATTATCTACTACTAATTGACTGGGATAAGTAGTTGCATACCACTCATCAACTAGCAGTGCCTGCTAGCCGGATCGAGGTGATCTAAACACTAGATGGCCAATGGGCCCATCTCAATCAATCAGTAGTATATAGTTTCATGCAAATATGCATGTTTTTCTGTTTACCACTTATGGTATCAAGCAGATTTCAATATGTGATCTGAATAACTTTGTTTCCAAAGGAAATTACAGTGAAATTTCACCACCTGAACTGTGTAGATTGCACATTGTGAATTCGATTTACTTCTCACTTGCCTAACATCAGGTGACAAAGTGTAATAGCCACTAACACAGGATTTTCAATATTGCGAAAGTCAGGAATGCTGTAATCAACGTGAGACATTGACTTAATCACTTGACTTTCATACAGTGGTTCCCTAGTTTAAGTTCCGCCCCGCCCAATTCAGCATAATCGATTGGGTAGTGCCATCAGCTCTCAAAAATTATGAATGGCTCGCAGCCTAGTATGTGGAAAATCTGCTTCGGGAAAATAGGTTCTCCTGATTGACTAATACCAACAACACCCAAAAGTATCACATAAAGTGCATAATGTAAGCTGAAACATTCAAGTAACATGATTCCTTGAGACTAGACTTATTTATTGAACGCCTAGGGTACCTACAAAGGACGGAAATATACATATTCTCTTAAATCATATGTTCAATAATCATCCATTACTCAAACGGAGGTCTTGGATAGGTTCCCACTTCATCATCAACCGACTCTCAGACCACAGCCATTATGTTGTCTGCAACAGTAACTGTATTTCACGGTTGATTTAAGGCACTTCGATTTACGTCATTGGAAGAAAGGACTTACAGGTCCCTCATCCTAGTGACAACTTACAGACAGAAGGTTTTTCGACGTGTTACGGTCTCGATCAACTATTTCACTGTGTCCACGTTAAACAGTTTGCATTCTCCATTCCGACTTAATCATAAAATTATTTTGAACACCATCCTAGATGAAATATTTTTCTGATTAAAAGGAAACACGACATAGTCCTATTAAATTAAAACTCTAACAGTCAAAATGCACACAGATCAGTAGTTATAATCGGGAAACAGTGTGAACACACACACACCAACAAAAACCTTAAGTGATGTAAAAAAAATGCAAACTCTGCTACTTGTCTGATCATAGAGCAGTTTAGCCCACTGAAGATACCCAAACCTGAGAAGCGTTACCGGCTTTAGATTATTATCTAACAGGAAGTAGAATGTGATGAAGAATCTGTTAAACTTCCTGTTCGTGAACTATTTGTGAAAATAACACAGACAAAAGTGCTCAAAGTCCATGGTTTATTGCAAAACAGTGTGCTTTATCCTGAAATAAGTGAGTCGTTACACATGTGTTTTTCACTTGTACTGTCATTTCGTTTTATGCTTTTACAGTGTATGGCGGCGACTTGAACTGATAGGCTTTTGTGAAAACTTCTACCTTGATCCATTACGCACACGTTAGACTACTCGCCTTAGCGATACTCTTCGTGGTAAATGAAGCTACGGACTGAGGGTGTGGCGTTTTAGGTACGGTTAATTGAACAATGAATAAACTCCCACCGTCCAAACCTCTGTTACATGGTAAATAAGGTGACTGAAATCATGCTGTTTAGAATTTTACTTTAGTCATCTGCCTTATCTGAAAGTAAATTCCTATCAACAGTACACTTGGCTCCGTGGTTATAAAAAAAATATCAGCACTTGTTGATATAAATAACTCAAGCGAATACTCCAAAGTGGAATTTCACCAAAAGAACAAAGATTACAATCCTATAGTTTCAAGGGGAGAAATGCTTAGTCTGGTTAGCACACATTATTGGTTGATATGAGTGGTATCCAAATACTCATCTCAACTAATTAGTATGTAGTGTCATTTACTTATTCATAGCATGCATTTAGTCTTTTAAAAAATATACTAATATTCAAAATGACAACAAATTAGAGAAACGAATGCAAGGTATGTTTACTTATTTATTTAAACGCATAAAAACTTGGTACAATATGGAACCAAGAAGGATGCGCCACACAATAATAATAAAACAAAATAGATCAAAAGAAAAAAGAAAGAGGAGAAATATATATAAGAAGAGAACGATAAAGAACTTCATCTGGAAGGGAAACAGTCATGCTTAACAAGTTCAAACAGTATTTGTTAACTATCATCGGGAAGAGAAGAGAGAAGGAAATTGCAGCACGTGTAATAGCACGCGATAAGTTTCATTGATTGTTTGTTGCTTTATTCAATTCATTGTGTGAGGGCTGAGATACTGCCCGGGCGCCCAGACCGAAGCAGGTGGTTTTATTAAGGGACCACGCCCCGAGCCTTTGACCTGGAGTCTAATCCGCAAGGCAGCGGAGCAGCATTCCCATGGTTTCCAGTGACCCATATGGGTTCGTACGCCATTTGATCCGATTGGATACTGGAGCCCATGTACCCCATGGTAACTGCTTTTAGTTTAACCGCTATCCAAACAACCTTCCTGACATGGTAGGACCTACCTCCAAAAGCCTCAGGATGGTCGGGGGTGGGTACCTTGCGCTGCGGGTTGGCCACCCCTCCGTACACCTCTTAAAATGCTCCCATATGACCGGGCGTCTTACATAGCCTCTCCTGAGGAAGTCCTACTCACTGCCTTCACGTGGCGGAGGTGTTTTTCACCTAAGTGAGAGGGCAAAAGCGGATGCCCGGCGCTCTTCACCGGTTGACTGTCCATTGGATGACAGTCTAGGGGAGATGGCTAAACCCTGATTCCAAAACTCCAACGACTGGCGTATGAAGCTCACCGGCAGACGTATGGACAAAGGGCTTATTGGATGCCCTGGATGTCTGGCCCCATTCAAAAAGGCGTATAAACCGGACTCCGGCCACCGGCTGCCAATGGATAGTGGACTCCCTACTCCACGCCTACTGCCTTGTAGGTCACACTTGGTTGTGTAAAGGCTAGAGCTGCACTCTCAAACAAAAGGCCGAGCGATGCTGGGGACATCACTCCTACCTAATTCCCATGAAACTTCATGAACTCGCTGAAAACATGGCTTGGTACAGTCAAGGCTGATATGGAGTGCCTGGGGCTACAAACCGTCTACGGACTCCGTCTGTGGAACAAGAATTGGATAACCCTGTCGCAAAACCTTGCATCAGATCGCCGCGCCTGGGCAGCGATGATTCGATATGTTAATGAAGCCGGCTCATTCTCCCGTAGGAGATAGCCGAAGTAAAGAAAGAAAGAAGAGGACCTGCGGGGACAGAGTCCCAGTCAGTTTAGCATGTTGGGTCATTACGGTATTCAAACCCGATCACTACGACAAGGTAGCAGTTATCGGCCGGGCACAAGGTATGCTTGGAGAATTTATGCTGTATAAACGTTACGTAGATGATACTCTCATTATTGGCAATAATAGTAAATCTATTGAAAACTTTATTTCCCTATTTAATCATATTCATCCAAATATCCGAGCAACTTCAGAAACAGAATCGAATAACAAACTCGGTTTCCTGGATATTACAATGGCTAGGAGAGATGATGAAACGATTCAGCGATCTATTTTTCGTAAACAGATATAGAGTGGACAATATCTTCATTTTACCAGTTTTGTTCCTATCCAGTATAAACGTTTCTTAGTGAGATGTTTGCTCTCTAGGGCCCGAAAAATATGCACGAGTGATACATTGATGGATGAGTTTCGACATATACATTTAGTTTTATTAGCTAATGGTTATCCGGAAAACTTTATCACTTGTCACAGTAAAGAAAGACCACATCTTCTGTACCAAAGAAACCTATCTTTATTAGCCTACCATTCAAGGGTGACCGGATTATGCAGTTGACAGCTCAAGTACTTCGGTTAGCCATCAAACGCACATTCTACGCCTCATCTCTTTTTCTCACTTGCCGAACATTTTCGATCCCTGTACCTACGATTAAAGGACGAAATTCTGTGAACTCTACTTCAAACTGTATCTGCAAGTTCAACTACAACTGCGGTGACACTTATATAGGTAGAACCAACAGACTGTTCCGATGTCGTCGAAAAGAACATGTTCCAAAATAGCTACTACAGCATGTAGAAAATCCCAATGCGATTAATCTGAATAGAAATATAGCATCATTCATTGCAAAACACTTATTAATATCAGGTCACAAAATCGATTTAATGACTGTTTCACAACTATTTCACATAACTCTAATTCAGAGTCGTTTATTGAAGGTGATGGAAGCACTTTGGATTAATCACATACAGCCTAAACAGTGTGTCCAAAAAACAATAGACTTCAATCTTCGCCTACCATGGACTACATGACCTACTTAAATATGATTGGTCAGTAGTATGTACTTTTGCTTTTTATCTGAGTAATTGTTATGAACTTTATTTTATTATTGTTAACCATGCTAGTTGTAAAGCGGTTGTAAAGAAACTACGAAATAATATCATCTCGCAAAATTTGTCTTCTTAAAACCTTATTCAAATTTATCAAAGGGACTAATTATTTTAAAATACGTACTATTAATAATTATAGTCACACAAATTAAAAAAATCAAGTGCTAACAAGGACTTTCCAAACCTACTTGTATTGTGTCCACCAGTTGTTTGCGACAAGTTCGTTCGTTTTCACAATCATAAGGCAATCGAACAGAATCCAACAGTTCAAGAGTGCGCATACAACGTTCCATAATGTCAACTGTACATTTAACGTTTACTGTTACCTCCGAACCATTGGAATCATTCTGCGACAATTACAGAGTAAGTAAACCAAGAGCATATATAAATTACTCCCTGAAATTTATAGTGGAACAAGCAACGTCTTGCTATTCCTTAAGATAATACATAAAAATAACAAAGACTAAAATACATTTCATCAACTTCCAAATAACTTCAGTCATAATTGTGTCAATACAAAACATTGGTTTGACTAACAATCCTACCGACTTTGAAGTCTTATGTCTACGATGACAATGTCACAGGCGGAATAACGTAGAATTTTGTACAACTGTTAGAACAGGTCGACACAGTTCAAAAAACCTCACACTGAATTAGAGAAAACAGGTATAATTAAATTATAATAAATGAAAGTGCGAGATTTACGAGATGATATTCAGCAGAGATTTTGAGAATCTGGAAGATAAGGAATAAATACATTTGTCTTATTGCAAACGATTTTCAGTCCTCAAGAAAGGTTTCCCAACCACTTAATGATAGTAACCAAAAGAACCCAACTAGTCAGTGTATGCCCATACAAAACTCAGGTCAGTAAGCGATGAGGCTTTTTTGAACTACCCTTAACTCTTTTCCTATTAAATCTTACCTCGGAAAACATTCCTTCCAGACACCTTAGTAAATTGAACTTGACAATCTCAAAGATTGGTTTTTTCTCCCCACTTCATTACTACTTGCCAAATCTTTATATAACATGAGAAACTAAATGGGTATGTTTTGCACCATTAATGTAGAAAATATAACTGCTACAAAGTACACATCCTTAGGCGAATAGCAATATATCATCCATGCTTCAAGTATCCCCCATGCTGGCAAATGGCAGGTATTTGGCTCTCCAGCTATTCAGTAAAATTAACGCAGCTTCTTTCACTTACTTCACTCCTCATCCCCAGAATGATAATCGGTGAAGACAAGACCTGGAGCACAATTTTACACTAGAAATGAACCAAGAGCAAGTATTTCCGCTTCGTGTCATTTTGAAAAGTAAGTCTAAATTTTCATCATGCATAACCCATTACTAATATTGTTTTTCTTTCTCGTATTTCTCTCACACACCACTGCTTGTGATTGTTGAATCCACCATATGTTAGAGCAGTTCTTGTTTCCTGTAATGTTCTGAGTTCATTGAAATTAATCATCTGGCAAATGTCAGTCTAAATGAAGCCATAGAAATCCACTGACTTTCGTTAACTCTCAGCTGTAATATGGTGCGCATACAGGAAGTTAAACACTAGGGGCATATTCTTCAACCTGGTTCTCAGAAAAGACGCAAAACAGGCCTAAGCGTATGTCGCGTTTGGATGGAAACATTGTTTAGTGATCTACACGCCACATTCGAGTGAGTGGCACTGAAGTGCTTGATTTGTAAGTTTCTGATGCAATGCACTGAATTCAGCCTGTCCAAATTGATAATGCCATTCTTCACATGATATTGGAGGTAGATATCAGGCTTACAGAGTAGTATATTAATGTGTAAAGTTACACATTCAAAATGAATTACCGACAGTGATTTTAATCAGAAGAACAACCAAATAAAGATGAGGAAACAACTAGAGTATCGGAACGCTAAGGCGAAAATTTTGTGTTATACAAAACAATATATGTTAGAATATATGCTGCAATATACAGCATGATTGTGAATACTCATTGAATGGAGAAGTAAAGCTAATATAACACAGTTGAACGTTTTACTGAGATAATGAAGCACATTCTTGTTAATTATTAAATAACAATAAATAATACTTCGACGGTACTTACAATATTACGCAATTTTTCAGAAAGATTCTCTAACTCCGAACTGATTGACTCGGAAGTACTTTTAGCTTTGCTAAGCTTTTCAGCTTCATTCGGATCAAGTGTTTCAACCTACAGTAAGTCATATATACTCAGAATCAACTCACTGAACCAAGGACCATGACTTTGGATCCAACTGTGAGACCACATGAAGATATCAGTGCATCAGGATCCATCAGAGATCTTCCTAAGATAAATAATAGGGATTTCATCAGAAGGTACCTTTGTATATTAATCTCTGTTTATAGAAGGGAACGTGTACCACACTCTCAATTGCCTTCATTAAGTGTTGCAATGTTGCATCTGTACCTGTTGGTAAAGGGACAGAATACTTCTGGCCACCTAGTTACCATAATTAATGTTAACTAAATAACTAACCGAATACAACATTAATGCAACACGCTTCGTCCATTATCTCATATTTAACAAGCTAACTATCGGTTGTAAACCAGTATCAGCCCGCAAACAGTCATCAAGGTCATCCTTCAAAAAATATGCCTTTGACTTATATCCAATGTGTGAAAAAGAAATTAGATTTCTTCATCCCAGTCACTCTTCATCGCTGGGCCAAAGTTTTCAGTAGATTCAAACACAGAGCATGGTCGGTCACCTGTTGTAGTCCTCCAGAATCTCCTGGTCAAAGACATATTTTTTATAGATAGTTTTTTCTAGATGTCACTGTCAGAAGTATACAGGGTTTCATGTCATCTAGCATGCAGCTAGGTTTTTAACTATGTTGAAAACGAAGTGGCTTAGTAAAGGCAATAGACGTCTTTTCTGGGATGTATCCGACTATTAGTTCAATCCTCACTTATTATAGGTAGCATTAGCATAATCACTGGGCGAAAGCAGATTATGTTAAGCCAGCAGATGACATCTAACAGCACCGAATCCCATCCAACAACCAAAGTTCCCCTGTCGTCTGCTTGGTGGCTTCTTCGTCAAACGGAACAACTTAAGTTGACTACTCGGTAGCAGCCATGCATAAAGTTCAGAATATTATAAAACCAGTCGAACTGTGGGCTGTTTATCCACGGTGGTCAGTCTGTTTCCTTTACTGCACGTGGTTAGCAAGGAGTTGCCACAAAATGATATTTAAAGCAGTACAAAAATGGTATCTGCAAAGTGGTGTATTCTTTTCATCCTCCCTAGTCTCTTCTGACCTTTAACAAGCTTAGGTGAAGGGTTCTTCCCTTCCCAGAGTGAATGTAGTGAACAGTGGCCTTTAAGCAAACTTTCCGTACGTTAAGCTTAAGTGTAAGCTCATCTTATGGACTAAATATACACCTCAGCGTGGCTAGTGGGTGAGGATATACGTTATAACGTGGTTATATTTCCCGCGACTCAGGTTTTTTCGTCTTTCATTGGCTAGAACAGTGGCGGTCAATTGGATATTTGATTTGTCCTTTGTAGGTCGTATCGTAAGAGGTTTTGTGTGGTTGTGTTATGCGCCGTTTGCAAGCGAATTTGACAAAGATAGATGTAATTTTTGACTATTTTAACATTGTTTCACTGTTTTTTTACACAGATACACTTCTCTTTTCGCTATAAACTCCCTGGAAACTGGTCAGGCATTATGGTTCCTATCAGTGACTACCATCCCGTGGGTGCCAATGCATTTCTTGAGTTGTGTTTTTAGGTACAGTATTTCCTACTTCGTGATTTCTCACTCACATAGTCTGGTATCCTGTGTTTCTTGCGACTTAGCTGTCACAAGCTGTTGTAATAATGTGCTTCGTTAACGAGCCCTTTTTCTAGAATTTCATCGCAGGTAATCAGCGCGAGCGCAAGCAGCACATATGTAGGAAGCTACAAAAGCATTAGAAGACTTTCAAAAGGCGTGAACTTCATATATTGCTAACAGTGACGAACTTTTCCGCATACCAGTATGTGGATACGTTCACACGCGTATAGGAAATCCACGAGTGGGACATTGTATTTTAGTGGGACAGTTTTGCGAGACTTTCATCTAGCCCGTATGTTTCGGTCTAGTATTTCTGTCCCTCAGACCACTAACAAAGTATTATCAAATGCATTCTTGTAGTATGATTCGATGGCACAATTACTGGCAGTTAATAATATTATTTATGCGTAATGTTCATGATATTTTCTGCACCATTAACGTGCTCCACATTTCAAAAAAAGTGTAAATTAGGAAGACTAAACTTAGCTTATACTTAACTCAAATATGTTCATGCATGTTAATTATGTAAATGCTTAATTTATGTAAGTGAATTTAGTCTGTATCACTTTCAGGAATGATGGGTCGCAATGAGGTCAGTCAGTTCATTAAATCCAGTGGAAGCAGATGTAGCTGCATTCGGACAAAGGCATCCGAAAAACAGTGATGAGCGTTTTACGACTTATAATCGGATACATTTGCATAATCAGTTTTAGAAATTGATTCTGCATACAACAAGTGGAGGTAAGTTCACTCATTCATGTATAACCATGCAGATATTCTTTTTTACAGTTTGTGATACCGGATAGATTTGCATATGGGCGTAGAGTTCTGTTTGCTTGAATTTTGGAAGAATTCAAAGGTGACGCACTTCGGACACTGGACAGTTTCCGTCGAATAATGGGAGATACTTTCCAAACGAAGACTTTCATCTTTGACTGTGCTCAGATAATACATGTAAATAAACTTGTTTGCGTTGCAGTAAAATAAAATTTTCTATCTAATATTCTTGTGCCTTTGTATTTGTTCTGCATGCGGTGGGAATACGGCATGGTAGACCGGTACTCCCTAGGATATGAACGCGTTACTGTATATAGGTGTAATTCTGTAGGAACACTATCGATCGATATAAGTAGTGAATTATAAGTACTTAAGTCAAGCCCAAAAATCTGCCTAAAGTTACGCGATTACGTCTCCTAGTCATAGGGAAGTCTGTAGGGACCAAGTACAAAAATACTTCAGTATTTGAAAAATAAGAAATGAACTTAAGCACTGCAATTGAGTCGATTTCTTATAAGGTAAAGTGTATTCAAAAGTAGTTCATTACCATTATTTCACTTAAAGCATGATGTCGATTCATATGATTATGGGTGTTAACTTACAGTGTAAGGTGAAGTGTACACGAGACGAATAATTGAATAGGTTGAGCTGTAGCAATCGTAGTCACATTTACACTACACTGAAATATGCCACCAATTACTTCGTCGGGTCTCATTGATAAGTGATGCCTGCATCTAGTCATCATGACAAATATGGGTACACTCAGAGAGAACAAGAAAGGTCTGGTAAGCATGATGTTAAATATATTTAATGAAAAATAATAACAAGTAAATGTCTTTACGCAGTTGTTTGTCGTAATAATTGGGCCAATATCGAATCGCTGTGACCGGGTTGACTGACGTTACCGGATATCTGCAAATAAGTAAACAAAGTGTTTTTTTAAATTGCTGAAGCAAGAAAGGAGTAATTTTAAGTTGAACGCTTTGCATTTGCCTACCTTTGCTGAAAATGGTTCATTCTCCTTTCTCATTCTTCGTTCATGACAGCATTCTTCTGTGGTTTTTACTGTCACACATATTGTTCATCTTCTAAAGGATAGCAGCAAGCAAATAATAATAATTAGAACAGGTTATGATAAGATTTAGATTGTAAACCCTTAACAATGAACACTGTACATTTGGTTAAGTGCTATGTCCTTGGAATGTTGGTATACATTTGCAATGTTTAATGCAAACCATATCGGTGTAAGCATAGAAAATATGACGTTTTCCATGAAAATACAGCTTTGTTCAAACACTGGTGCTGTTGTGTTTCTAATAAAGGCAACTAGACTGTAAGCAAGCAACTAATAGGCACAAAGAGTAAGTCTCAGATTTAATAAAGGCATATCCAGTTAAGATAAAATGTAGTGTAATAGTGCACAAATGAAAAGACCATCGTGAAGTAGATAAGTGATATTTCAGTGACAGGTAAATTGAAATTTCTGCAACCTTACAATTCCTAAGGCAACCTGACGTGTAAGATCTCTCACAAATTTCTGTAGGGCCTGTGGGGTACCATGGATGGTTTGCCGTTAATCTGAGCTTTTGAAGGATGATTTACAAATCCAAAAGGTAATAACCATCGATACTGAGGTAGTATTTCCTAGCTGTTCGGCATTTTTTCCTTTGAGGCAGTTTCTTATCAACAGTTTGCAGTATTCATAGTGAGTCTATAGGAACCTTCATTGTATCATGATTTTCACCAAATATCCCTTAACTCACAGAAGCAGGCAGTAACCCCATACACTCAAGCATTGTAACCAGAACATCACAAAATGCTTACAGATAACTTGTTTAGTAATAACTGCTTGAAATATAAGGGCTATAAGTGCATCTTTCATAGCCATAATTAAGTCATTAAGAATCTCAGAATATTTTAGTGATTTGAAACAAAATAATTATTAAGATTGATATAATCTATGTAACAGGTGTAGTAGTTGTATGACACACCTGCTAGCTACTAATCAACAGAAAGCTGATACTCATTTTAAGTACTCTGACATTTGAGAAGGACTATTTATACTATTCTTCGAGACACGATGAACACTGATGTCAATATACTCTGATGCCATTTCATGCACTGAGCAATTAAGGCCTTCTGGAATTCCATGTGCAAATGTCAATTAAACTATTATCACATCTTCACCCAAGCACTTTTAACTAGGAACTTCATCAAAATAAATATAATCACCAGGAAATTCGGCAGCCTGTCTCATTCATCGCATAATGTCGTCGATGTGTTACGGAATATTTCAGTCATCCCGGATGATAACAGAAGTGTTTGACATGTTCAAAACACACATCTAACCTATGTCTGCATGCTATTTCTCTTTCACAGGCCAGATTCTCATAGATTCACTGGAATGACAACAGCCATTGCCTGCAGTGTATTTACGACCTTAATATTTGAAACAACTTGCGAAAAACAAACCCTCAACGCACTATAATGCAAATAATACTCTTTCTATGCGAACTTTCTTCAAAAGGATGACTTCTTCATTGATAATCCGTCCGAGCTATAATATACAATTTTACGCTTTACTATGAACAAAATAATGCCGTGTGGCTCCAGAAGTCTAAAACTAGTCAAATATGATCTATTTCCCAAAAAATAGGCGATTATAACGCCTGTAGCCGTGAACGCGGTAACCGATGTCGCTGCGCGATAACACCTGGTTATAACGTATATCCTCACCCGTGGCTAGTTACCTACATTACTTGAAGGGTTGTGAGATCTTATTCTCGTCGGTCTAAACTCCAAGGGTCTCTGTGTGGTCACCTACACTAATCGACACACTTCTTAATCAAAAATGCGTTACTCTAGAAGAGATGATAGAAATTCTTGCATCTACATAGGTGATACTTGTTTCATCTTGAATAGCGGAACTACTTACATTTACCTCTGACGTTCGAAGAGAAGCATTACAGACAACTGACATCTGAAAAAATGGCACAGTAGTGGAATGAACGATTTTAACAAACTTCCCAAGATTGGAACTTAACTGCGTTGACATTTTTTAATGTTCAAGCTTTTTGTAGGCACTTTTCAGATAAGTTTATCCGTGTGGTACTGTTTTCATATATCTTCATCTT